GGAATGCACAGGAACGGAGTTCCGGCTGGCTCCTGAGTTGGCCACACCCAGCAGAAACTCATTAGCATAAGAGGCCACGCCCAACAGCAGAAACTCATTAGGACTGGCTACAGTAGGCATGTGTGGCCTAATATGCAAAGGAGTCCCTGCTACAAAAAAAGGCTTTGGGTTTTGACAACAAACAAGGTAAACAGAATAAGAAGCAAAAGGTGGGTGTGGCTGGATGACCACACTTCTGGCAACACGGGGCTGCGGCCTAATATGCTAATGAGCTGTGGTGTCAGGGTGTGGCCTAATATGCTAATGAGTTTCAGCTGTTGGATGTGGCCTATTATGCTAATTAGTTCCTGCTGGGCTTTTTCTACAAAAAAAGCCCTGAAAGTACCTAAATAACAAACCATCACCGCCACCCTACCCAAGTGCAGTGAGACTCTGGATCCTATGTAGAAGATATCAAAATATACAAAAAGACATCACTGCAGGCAAGAAGATGTGCACAATGGCAACCACCACACATTTTTTTATTTTTGCATGTAACTCTTCAACACTTAAAACAGAAAGCAAAAAAAAGTAGCGGCACTTAACCATACCTGAAATGTCAGACACTAAAGAATTTTGGCTTCCGTTTGGTCGACTGAGGTAAAAAGTAGAAGATGGTGGAACGGCGGCAGAAGGACCAGTCTATAATTCCACAAAAGGGGGGGGGGAGTTGTATAGATAAGCAAATAAATGAAAGTTGAATAGCCAACAGACGGCTGGAAGAACAAGTGTGTAGCAACCACAAAAATCATACTGAGAGATATTAAACTTTGAAATAGCAATTAACTAGTCAATCAAAATAGCTGTAAATACCAGCCACTAGGTCAAACACACTGGCTTATGCATTTTAAAGCCACATTAAGGTAAAGGTAAAGGTTTCCCTTGCTCGAAAGCTGGTTGAATACGACTCTAGGGTTGCGGTGCTCATCTCCGTTTTTAAGCCGAAGAGCCAGTACTGTCCAAAGACGCTTCCGTAGTCATGTGGCCAGCATGACTAGACACCGAGGCGCACGGAACACTGTTACCTTCCCACCGAAGCAGTACCTATTTATCTCCTTGCAATTTCTTGCTTTCGAACTGCTAGGTTGGCAGGAGCTGGGGCCAGAGACGGGAGCTCACTCCATCACGCGGCACTCGGGTCTTGAACGGCTGAACTACCCGATCTTCCGGTCTGCAGTTCAGTGTCTTTAACCACTTGAGCCACCGCCACCCCAATTACATAGAGCCACATTACATAGAGATTAATATACAGCTTTTCAAATTTCATGAAACCAAACCACAGCCATGCAATCTCCCCTTCCTCTTCCCCCAATGCCCATGCCATCCTGTTCTTCCCCTAGTGCTTACCTGCTTCTGTCTACCTTATCTGTCATCTTTTTATTCTATGCTTCTTAAAAGGAGCTTGGAGCAGGAGTTCTCAGTTCTCCCCACAAGAACCCTGGGAGGCAGGCTTTCGGCTGACAGAGAGCGATGGGCCCCAGTGGCCTCTCATGGCCAAGTGGTGATCTGAACCCAGGTCTAGTCTGACGCTCCAATCATTATACTACCCTGCCTCTCCAAGCTATACCTTTCTGCACACCCCACTTCATTTCTATCCTGAGGCAGCAGATTAACTTGCCAAACAAAAACAACCCTTTAATCCAGAGGACAGGGAACTAAGTCAAGGCCTTTCACCTGTCATTTTCTTCTGACCGGCTCAACTTATTCCAAATCCTCTTTGCTTTCCTTCTGCTGCATAGATAACACTTAATTTCAAATGTGGGATGCTGAAAACAGCTAATTGTTTCTATAAGCATATCAGTGCGAACCGTTCACAGCAATAAAGAGGTCCCTCCGTTGGAAACCATGCTATTACCAGTTCCTTTAAAATCCTTTAATCAAAATTAGTAACCAATATCTCTTATTCTCAACATGGCCAATCTGTGGAGGCTTAAATCCAGCGATCAGAGCCATGAACAGAAAATAAAGATCTTCCTACCAACCAGAAAAACTCCCCATATTTGAAAAAGAATCTGAAGTCTTAAAAAAATTAAAAACGGGGGAGGGGTTAAACTTCCCCAAAACAATACAACCAGCACCTATAGCTTTAAGAAACAAATGCCCTCAGTGGCTGTTGCTGGACAACCACACAGTATTGCCAGCCTTCAAGCCTTGGTTTCTGTCAGTAAAGGGCAGGGGAAGGGGTAGGGCCCTTTCCATGGCTGTTTTGGCCTTTGAGGACTCACTGGAACCAAGCATGGCAGCAACCACTATAGGGACGTATATTGTTGCTGCTATATATTGTTATTACTGTTGTTTGTTGTTCTAGTATAAATAATTTTAGAACCCCATCTTGAATTTCATAGTTAAATATTTTTGGAGCACTGTAAAGTAATTTTTAGTGAACTGTATTTATTGTATTTTATATTATTCTGTATTGTTTTAGTAACCTGGGCATCCGTGACCCTTGTGAGCCGCCCTGAGCCTTCGGGGAGGGCGGGATATAAATTTAAGGATAAATAAATAAATATAAATATAAAATACCATGAAAGACTTGCTTGATTCACCCAATAGTAGCTGCTTGCTACTATTTAGCAACAGCTACCCCACGAGAGCCAGTGTAGTGTAGTGGTTAGAGTTCCAGATTAGGATCTGGAAGAGCCAGGTTCAAATCCTCCTCACTCACTCTGTCATGAAAGCTTACCGGGTGACCTTGGGACAGTCACACATTCTTAGCCTAGCCTACATCACAGGGTCATTGTGAGAATAAAACAGAGGAGAGGAGAACAATGGAACCCGCTTTGAGTCCTCATTGTGAAGAAAAGTGGGGATATAAATGAATAAACAATAAATAAGGCCAAAGATGTAGAGGTGGAGAAAAAGTCAGTTGATTGATGGGTGGGAAGGAGAGAAGGAACAGGGAAAGGTGAGGACAGGGGGGTTGTCAGAGGGAGGGAAAGAAGAAATAGTGTGGGGAAGGGGACACAGGGAAAAATGAGGTGGCCACTGAGAGTCCTCACTGTTTCCCCACTGCACAACTGGGCCTGTCCGAGCAGCTAGCATGGCACAACTAGGCCACAGTTTGCTCAGGTAGAGGCTGCCATGGGAAGGAAAGGAGGGATAGCTGAAGACAAGTGAGCAGGTAAAGGTAGATTGGCTGGTGGTTCTGAAAGAACAAATGAAGCAGGAAAAGGGGGCAAGGCTATGGGGGCTTTCACAGAACAGAAAGAGGAAACAGTGGGGGAGGAGAAGATGAGATCCCCCCCCCCCCCATCCTTGTGGGTATCCTTTTTGCAAAGCATAAAATGCGAAATAGTGTTCTAAATATTTGAATATATTGTCTTGAACTGCTGCTGTAACAAACACAACAAGCCCTCCGGCACAAAATAAATCATCACAGTGTATGTAGCCAACAGCATCTGCTAAGTCTCACTCTATATAGCTTTTGGGGAAGCAGCAAGGCTGGGGGCAGTCTACCTTTCCAAAGAACCAAAAAAGAATTAAAGCAGAATAAAAGCCATGCAGTGCTTTATAAAAGCAGGTTTACTGACTCTCAGAATTGCTTCTACCTACATGAAAGGAGTGGCGGCGGCTACAAGCATGGATGGCTTCAAGAGGGAATTGGATAAACATCTGGAGAAGAGGTCCATCAGTGGCTATTAACCACAAGGTATAGATAGGAACTCTCAGTCTGGGGCAAGGGATGCTCTGTATTCTTGGTGCTGGGGGTGGGGGCAGCAGTGGTGCTTTGGGGAGCAACAGTGGGAGGGCTTTTAGTGTCCTGGCCCCACTGCTGGACCTCCTGATGGCACCTGGTATTTCTGGCTACTGTGTGACAGAGTGTTGGACTGGATGGGCCACTGGCCTGATCCAACATTGGCTTCTCTTATGTTCTTATGTATTAACTTAGCAAAATGGGGAAAGTCATATGACACTTGGGTTAAAAATCACATTGACCTTAAGACTTTTCTAAAGGGACCAGTGACAGCAATAAAATGCACAATGTTTTATGCTGAAAACATGCGCTAATTTTAGAAAGCAACATCAAATTCCCATTTCAGTAGGAAGTGGCAATAAAAGCCACAGTTAAGTGGTTTTGAAGGCATAGCATGATTATCCTTTCAATACACAAACAAAAAAGGAAACATAACACAATGCATATTTCAATGCAAGAAAAACAAGTTACGGAAAACCATGCCAGTAAGAAGCAATTAAGTCCACAATACCATACACATTTAGCTGGCATTGAGCCTCACTGAACACAGAAACACTTACTTCCAGGAACACACGCACAGGATCACACTGTTAGGAGTCCCAAACCTCTGCAATTACCCACCAAGCGCATAATTTTTAGTTGGAGTTTGTACCAATACACTTTATTATATGTAAAAATAATAGGTTTTTATTGGATTCAGGGAATGTAAAATTACATACAGGCAAAGTGTTTGCATCAAGACAAGCAATGTATAAGCCAAGTGAGGCTACTTCAGAACATTTTTTACATCTACTAGAAGGCTTCACCTCCTCATAGGCACATACAGAAGTGGTTGTACCATCCCATTGGTCAAGGAATGGAGTGGACAGCCAGGAGATACGGGACCACACAAATAGTTTGGGGTGACCAATGGGGGCTAGCAGCTGGCTGGCATTTCTGGACCAGCAGCATCCCACGCTGCCTGGCAAACCACCTTGGAAACTAAACACCGTTTCACAACGTGTTTGTGACAAGGCACATAGAATGTGGGAGCAGGGAGGAACAGGGAACAGTTCAACAAGGAGGAAACCTCCAAAGATACCATGGTACACACACAAGCTGCTGGGCACACAAAACGGAGCTCTTTGGATCCTGGCTGACAAAAGTGAATTTCGTGCTGAATGAGACCAATAGGAATTTTATTGTGGAATAACTTGAGGAGGAAGAATACATCACTTACATTCTCAAACGTTAGAGTCTTTGTTTGTTCTTTCCCATCCACAGAATGCACGTCTTCTTCTTCTGCATTTGTTCTTTTCAGCTGGGTTTGTTTTAGCTTTTGAGCCCATGATGTTAAAGATTTACTGAAGGAAGGGAAAAGAGGACACACAGAGAAATGTTTTCGCCACAGCAATACGAAGTCCCATTTATTTTGAAGGTCTTTTTTTCTTATTTGTGGCCTCCTAGTTACCATATAGATTGAACACTCTTTGTTCAGAGGGGAAAAAATTGGATATAAAATTGATTTTCCACACTGTCATTTTCAGCAAGGAGGCTGGCAAGAATGGAACTGCTCCCACGAGCTTAACACAGACAGCTTGTATATCTGTTTAAAATAAGTTGTGTACCAAATGCCGAAAAGGTTCAACTCACTATTCGCTTTTCAAACCCTGCTGTGGTGATTCATAATTTTTCAAGATGTACAAGATTTGCAGAATCTTGAGTAACTGATCTCAAGAATATAATGCCCCCCCCCCAAATATGTCTAATTCAATATCCCCAAGAGGGTTTGGGCCTGTATTTTTTGAACAGCAGTCCTCCACACAGGTGAGTAAATCTCTTTTAAAACAGGTGATAATTTTAGAAGTAATCTAAGGCATGGCTAGGATGGAGGCGGCATCTCTAATAATAATAATAATAAAAAAGATCAGCAAACCCAATAGATGCACCCAAACCTTTGAGCATTGCTCATCAGCATGACAGACTAGAGATACATTGTCGTGAGCCACACTACAATGGTTGAGATAATGACCAAAACAACAGAAGACAATTCATTATGACCAGGTTACACTGATCCAGATCAGTCTGGGAGCAAAGTGTGAACAACAGTCAATAGGAGCTGAGACGGCTGCACAAATACAGAGTATTACTGCTTCAAAAGAACAGCTGTGATGGATCAGACTACCTAATCCGGTATTCCTGTTTCTAGCAGACCTGCTGCCAGGAAGGTCCACAAAGCCAACTGCCCTCCCCGCCCCCCACCTGCTCCTCCGCATCTGGCATTCAGAGAGACACCGACTCCCAAGACAAGAGGCGACAGTGACTGATCCTGCCTTGCAGACCCATTTTCCAGGAATTTGTCTAGTCTCCTTTTAAAGTCATCCAAAGCCCCAGTGGTCATCATCACCACAGTTTGGGGCTGGAAATTCTACCAGTCAACTGAGAGTTGTGCAAGAAAGTACTTTCTTTTTTAATACTATTTTTTATGGTTGTGAGTCCAAGTTCTAGAGTTGGGGGGAGAAGGAAAAAACCCTTCCACCCCCTTTTCTCCAGATCCTTTGTAATCTTCTAGAAATCTCTTCTTAGCATATCCAGGCGCCACAATTATCTCCTTCCTTCTTAACAGACTGAGATGCTGCTGCTTATCTGCATTCCTGTTTTTACTTCAGACCCTCTAAGAGGGTTAAGCAGTTCCCATCCAGTGCACAAGTCACATTCTTCTCTCGGATCTGCTGCTCAGCATCAATACACTAGGGCTGCTGCTATTAGCAGGGCAATCCTGTCCACAGATACACCTGCCAAAACCCACTGAAATCAATGGGCTCAGAGAAGAATTACTCTGCCTAGGACTACGTGCTGTAAATTGCAGTCACCTAGCTCTTACATGGAGCCCGCCAGTACCTCCCCTGGAGCCCTCTGAGCTTTTCAGAAAGTGGGTGAGGGACACTGTAAGAACGTGTTATTGGCTGCCCTTAATCAGATGAAAGGGTTCTCTTGCTCCATTCCTCTTTATGCTTTCTCCCCTGCCCTCCCCCAGGCTTTTATTCGTTTCTTTTTATTCCCCTTATGCAATTCTTTTGCCAAACAAGGAGAGAGGTACCGTGTTTGGCTCCACTTCCCACACCCAGCAGTTAGGGCTGGAGCTCATTCCCGCCCACCTCCTCCAAAGGTGTTCACGGGCTCAAAAAGTTTTTTTAATTGGGGACTTCTGACCTGGATCATGGCAAGTATCATCACTCTCAACAATAAATTGCCTTCCCTACCCCACCCCGTTCAGACTGCAAAAGCAGCAGTGCAACATACCAAGCTTATTAACTTGAAGATGAGCCCAACGACTCCAAAGTTGGTCACTTACCAGCCTGCTCTTCCACAATGACCTTCACTAATCTTATTCTCAGATTCAGCACGAAAAACGATATTATCCTTCCGTGGTACACCACGTTCTATAGTGGTGTGTGTAAACTCTTTTTCATTATGAACACTGGCTGTAACTGATGCCTTCTGCGCTGAGGCTGCACTACCCTGCACGCTGGTGATCCCCCCCGTGTTTTCCATGCACGCCCGAATGTCCTTAGGCTTGGCGGGACTCAGTTCTGCAGCGGAACAGGTGCCATACCCGCTGCTCATCGAAACACTGTTCGTGAGACACTCCTGCTGCACGGGTGAAGCTGAAGCTTCCGGCTGGCTCTCGGCTTCATGAGGCTGAAGGTGATGGACGAAGAGCTCATGTTCTTCCAAGGTTTCAGACTGCAACCCCATTGGATTTTTTAGTGGAAAAAAAGGGTTTGCACACTTGGCTGGAGAGCTTCGCTGTGCGCACGAACACACATTCTGGTTTTGCAGTTTCACCAAGTGTCTGATCTCATTCTGTATATGCTACAAAACAAAGTGGCAGCACGTTAAAAAAACAGAAGTATTGTGGAATTTGCATGAGAATAGTGAACTTTGGTTACTTTTTGACTGTCACTCCTGCGACTCTTCTCAACAGACAGACATAACATGCAAAATGTGTTATGAGACAAGAATACCAGAGAGTTGCTCCACTTTGGCCACTAAAACACACGCGTACATATTCAGTGTTGCTTGAGTGCACATTCAGTGTGACTATACGACATATCTCACATGGCACAGAATCCACTCACACACATTCCGACATACTTATGTGAATGAAACAGTAGAAAAGAGCAGGAGTCCAGCAACAATATGTTGTCGAAGGCCTTAAAGACCTTAACACCTTAAAGACTAACAAAAGTTGTAGCAGGGCATGAGCTTTCGTGAGTCACTGCTCACTTCTTCAGATATGTGAATGAAACAAGGCAACCTACTTGCCCAGAAAGAATGGCTGCCTCACAAAGCCCACCTAACAGAATGGTTATAAGTCACAGCCGCAAAGCTTTTCCAGTGTGACAGTTAGCCCTAGACGTGCCACAAGTGAGAAGGGATGCAAAGATCATGGCTCAATCCCAATTTGATTTGCCTAAGAGCCCCACCACCGCCAAGACACAAACTTGGGAAAAGCCAGCTCTACATGTCCCTTTCTCCATCCTTCACCTGCCCAGTTGCCTCCACCTCCTTGAAGCCCAGGCCATCCTGGAAGAGGAGTTGGCACAAGGATACAAAAGTCTCCAGTTGGATTTGCTGGTTTTGTTGAAGATGAGAAACTGATTGTTATAGGTTCACTCTAATCCTTAAATATGGTTACTCAAAATTCCACAGAGTTTAGTGGGGCTGACAGCCTAGCAGATTCGTTTAGGTTTGCTGCCTCAGACATAAAGAAGCAGGACTTGATGTTCCTTTAATTAAGATACACTAACGAGGTGTGAAATGTTCTCCTCCCTAAGAAGACTCTTCCCATTTCATGAACTCTCTGCATATAAGGACTGAGTTCCTATTGTTGAATCTTTCAAAGAGTTTGGATTTTTATACAAGAAGAAACAAGGACTGTAATTTTTCCATGCAATTCAAATATAATTTTTCACATGGTACATGCAATGCACTGTTCAATTAAATATAAAATGAATTTGTAAGGATTGTTAATTAGTCAGGTTATCGCAGTTTATTCTCCTTTGGTGAACCTGATCCCAAGACACACGGGTCAGACATGGCCAGCACATTTCAGGATTATGCATGAGAACCATAATGAACTTGTACAACAAATACCAAATTTGGACAAGGCAACCTTTGGCAACGGCAGACCTTCCGTGGGGTTAATTCTGAAAACGTGCAACTCTGGCAAGTGTCACTCAATGAGTTAAGCCCCTCCATACCAACACATGACCATCGCAGTCTACACACAAAGAAAAGTATGGATGAAAGAAGTGTGAGGTAGAAAGATAGTAATAAGGGAGAAAATAGGTGGAAGTGGTAGGGAGAAGAAAATAACAGTACCTCTTAGCATTTGTTTCACTCTCAGCAATTGTTGGCTACTATTTGTGCAGAGTCAAGAAAGGGAAGGGAAAAACAATAACCGAAAGGATATAAATATTAAATGTACCAAATCTGTTTTCAAACGTATCAAATATATATATTTTCACATATAAAAATACCCATATGGTGGGGTTTTATTGTGAAATAAGGAGAATTTGAAGTTCTAAAAATATCTCGTGTCAACCACGGAACTATTGTGTTCACAATAATAACAGGAACTACCCCACCCTTCAGAATAGTTTGATGCTTACATGTCAACAAGCTCAGGGGAAAATGTGTCTGAACATTTGAAACTAGCACCTCAGAACTGAAGTATTTTCTCTGGCACCCATGTCCAAAGCTCCCTCTAAACTGTGGAGTCTTGTGAGCAAAAACTCTACTTTGTGAGCTACTAGTATTAAAGTTGTAAGTGAGCGATTTGGCTCCTGCATAAATTAGTTTGCTCTGGAGCCCCATCCTTCCTGAGCTAAGACAAAAATGTGTGAGCCGGAGGCTAAAAAAACTGTGAGCTAGTAACTCAGCTTAGAGGGAACACTGCCCATGTCTGTCTTGCACTTTTGAAACCACTGCACCAATTAAAAAACAAAAACAAAATACTTACATGGATTTGCTGATAAAAGTGTTTCTGCTGGGTAACTATCTGGTCTTGGCATTGCTGTTCCACCAGTCTGAAGAAATGTAACCACTTTGTCTATTTAAAAACAAAGTTATTTTGAAAACAACCCCCCAAAAATCTGTACACAGCACAATTCATTTAGATATAGGAAATCAAATACGCCATGCTGTCCAATGGACCCATCTGATAATAAAGACACCCTTTGTCTAAGACTCCACTTTGTCTAAGATGGCACATTAGTGTTGCCAGCTGCACACCCCTTCCTCCCAGCCTGTGCAGCCATGAGCAAGTCCCACGAGGCACACGAAGAACGTGGGGAGCGACTGCCATCTTTTGTGTCTCACACATGTTTTGTGTTCACCTTGTAGTAGTGACCACAGCAGAGGATCTTGGGACGACCACAGCAAATGCCTCCAAGGAGGCCATTATGGAAAAAATCAGGGAGTGCCAACAGTACGATAGCAATTAAGCCACGCTAGGATAGACAACAAAGATCCCTCTTCCTGTATTGTCTTTTACATGATATACAGTCACTGACTGTTAACACAATTCAAAGGTTAACTGCCCGGGGAGAGTCTGGGGCCTCGGATTCAGATCTTCCCATTCTCCCCAAAGCTCCCGCTGAATACGTGACTCCGTTTCATGTCTCCAGCTTTTTAATCCTGAATTGCAATTCAATCGAGAACTTCCCTTCCTGTTGCCCGTCCCTGGTGCCATTTAGTCAGTTCTATAGCTTTCACCTGATCAAGCTGCCCAACTCTCAAGTATTCTGTTACCTTTTGTCATAATCATTTGTTTCTTGAAAAGAAGCTAATTTATGCTATGGACCAAAAACAGTATAACTGGCCTGGCTTTAGAGCCAGCAACTGTGGAGTCTGATCCTGGATACCAAGGGAACTGAAACAGACTCCCAATGCACACACTAGATCCCTCCTTCTTCCATCTGATTTCTTCACAGAATAGAACAGGCAACCTTTGCGCTCCCTCTTGATCCATTCCCCCCTTATTTTCCAAACCACATATACAACTTTAGCTCAAGGAGTAGCTCCAGTTCCACTTTGGAGTAGCTTTGTTGAATATTTTGTTGTTGTTGTTGCCATATTAATTAGGATCAGGAATTTGCTTAGGATTAGTTCCCTAGCACGTACACTATTGTGCCAACTGCCTGAATACTCCGTATCCCTTTTAAAAGCAGGTCTCTGTTATCCCTTTCCTTCTGAAATCTTGCTACTCACAGCCACCACTTTAGGTAAAAGATCCCAGTTTTCTGCACCCTGCACAAACATGCAAGCCAATTCCTTGTGTTGTTGGGGGGCGGGTAACATCAGCACACTGCAATGGCGATGTTTGGGGGGAAAACTACCACTGTTCCCATACATTGAACCCCACAGGTGCCTGTGTAGATTACTAAATACTTTTTCATAAAGTAAGGCTTTCATGGGGTTATTATAATAAAATTTGATTTTAAAAAAGTCTACATACCTCGCAGTTCTCCAGTATTTCAGGGTCACCACTTCTTTGAGTGTCTCGCATAAAGGAGGGAAGCAGATCAACCTCACCAGGTATTACAGCAGGGCTGGCTTTCCCTGAGAAACTGGAGACGCCATGTGGGCTGGGCGAGGGACTGCTTCTGTTCAAGGGAAAAAAGGACGTGAATTATTTATTGAGCCAAATGCCGAACCAAACAGGGAAGGGCTCTGTGAGAAACAGAAACATCTTTGGCATTTAATTCTTTGTTTCTGAACTTCTTTGCACTGAAAAGAGAATAGGACACATTTCCTTCTGTATTCAACTTTTGGAGGCAAAATAAAACACCCTTACAGTCTGGTCAGTTACCAGAGTTATTCCTTTTTAAGCCTATTGACTTTAATTGACTTAGAAGGGTATAACATTGCTTAACATTGCACTTTAGGGCTCTTTGTATATCCTGCTTTTTGTTCTTCCCCCTTTTACCATTTCTGCCAAAAATGAGGAGGGTGGGCAGGCAGAATTCACAAATATTCATATTTCTCAGAATGAACAGAATGAAATTAAACGATCATATATAGCTTTTATAATTTAATATATTCACTTTAGGTAAAAAGCTAGACTTGCCTCTGAAACATACTGCAACCTATTTGTACAATCAGAAGGCTTTTACAGTTCCAATTTAAAGAATATACAACCACCAAAAAAAGGTATACCAGACAGTTGTTCAAAGCATTATCTGCTTTAATCAATCAAAAAAATAATAGCATCTTTTTCTAGAGGACAATTGTAATCACACTGGCTTGGAGGCTGTGTTACAAAGTTACGCTGCAGAAAGACACAAAGCATTTCTACACTGGCTTAGGCAAGAGAACTGGCTGTTCTATTTATTAATTTAAAAAAAGACTGTGGGGCACATCAGTGTTTACCTGTTATTACTCAAGTCATAGCCCACAGAGTTGTTAGCATTTCTGATATTGGTATCCACAGAGGTATCTTGCTCAGTTTTCACCAAGTCCAAATTTTCCATATCTCATGCTTGCAAAAAATGTGGTTATCCTTTAAAAACAATAAATACAAATTTCATATTGATAACTATTTGAAATAAAATCTGATTAATCATTCTGCTTCATCATCTAAGAGCCATTTCTGTATTGAAACTTCAAAAAAGTATTTTAATTTTAAAAATTATCCCCCTTTTTAGTATAACCACCCCCCAAAACAATTTGGGGAAAAATAAAAATCACAACAAAAACACAGTATCACAGAAAAAAACCCAGAGAGAAACAATACACAAAACAACAGTTTGGCATTAAGGGATTACTTAGAGGGTTGCCAGCTCTGGGTTGGGAAATACGTGGAGATTTGAGGGGTAGAGCCTGGGGAGAGTGGGGTTTGTGGAGGGGTGTCAACAGGATACAACGCCATAGTGTTCACCCTCCAAAACAGCCATTTTCTCCAGGGGAATTGATTTCTACTACCTGGAGATAACTTGTAATAGTGGGAGATCTCTAGTCCATTCCTGGAGGTTGGCAACCCTACATGACCACTACATTTTATCAAAACAGCCTCAGCCAACATTTTAAAAAAATCTACACCTGTATACTCCAGGAAGAGACAACCTTTAGCTAACCTGAAAGCTTGGGAGGAAAGCTTAGGAGTGCAGGTCTTTACTGCATTCTGAAAGATCACAAAGGAAGGGGTCAGCTGCATTTCATGGGAGAGGCCATTCTCTAGCCTTGATGCCACCACTGTAAAGGCCCTGTTGTACGTTACTGCCGGCTGAACTTCCAACAGTGGTGGAACACAAAGTGATGCCTCATCAGACAACAGAAGTGTCCGGGTAGACTACTGCTGCAGAGGGCAAGAACTATGATCCCAAAACATTTGTTGCTTTCAGGGTCAAAACCAGCAATTTACATTGTTCTCAGAGACAAACTGGCAGCCAATGAAGCTGAATGAAAACTTGTGCAATATAATCACGGTGGCCAGTCCTGACAATAAACAGATTTTGGATTAAATTAAATCTGGCCCCACTGATTGCCCTCCTGGTGGCACCTGGGTTTTGGCCACTGTGTGACACAGAATGTTGGACTGGATTGGCCTGATTCAATATGCTTCTCTTCTTTCTTATATTCTCTGAGAGCCCTTCCAAAGCAGTCCCAAATAAAACATGTTACAAGAGCTGCCAAATTTGGCTACCAGAGTAGGTGGATATCTGAAACATATTGGCCATTTGTGATTCCATTGCCGGTGTTTTACGTATAAACTCCACATGAATATGTGAAGCTGCTTCATATCACAACACACCATTGGCCTATCTAGGTCAGTGCTTTCTCTTCTGTATGGCAAGGACTCTCTTAGGCAGACTCTTCCCCAACACTTGAGACTTTAGATTGCTAAACCAAACCCTGGAGGTACCAGAGACTGAAGCTGAAGCCTTTTGCTACTTTTACATGTGATCCGCGGACCCTTCCCTGCTTCCACGTCATAATCAACGAGAGTCCCTTAAAAAAGCAGATGCTACCAATTTTACAGTGCATTATGCCTGACCTACTTTTTCCCTTCCACAATTTCTTGCACATGAATTATTTGTACTACATCTGTAATTTATTCTCAGCCTACTTTTAACACAGCAGTTCCCAGCAGAAAAATTTATCCCGTATGATTTCCCAGCCAAAAGTACATAAAAATATATGAAATATACAGCACATGTTACCCCTCCCCCCAAAAAAAGGAAAAGAGCAAGGAATGAAATAGGAAAATACTTGAAGATAATTTAACTGTAGCAAAGGAAAGACATCTATGTTTTGCTACTTTCTTTCACTGCAAAGGCTTTTGAAACTGTACTTCCAAAAACACACAAGCCCATAGCCCAGCTGTACGAGATAGATAATAAATCACCAAGTCATTATGGGACAGAGAAGCTAGAGAACATGTCCATCATATGAGAGCCAATAGGCTATAACACACAGGGCTTTAGGTAAGATTCCAAAATAAGTATTACCTGAAAGAGCCTAGGACAACGACCAAAACAAAACATGTATGCAAGACATTGCATAAGAACATAAGAGAAGTCAATGATGGATCAGGCCAATGGCCCATCCAGTTCAATACTCTGTCACACAGTGGCCAAAAATGCCAGGTGCCATCAGGAGGTCCAGCAGTGGGGCCAGGACACTAGAAGCCCTCCCACTATTGCCCCCCCCCCTAAAGCACCAAGAATACAGAGCACCCCTTGCCCCAGACTGAGAGTTCCTGTCTATACCTTGTGGCTAATAGCCACTGATGGACCTCTGCTCCATATGTTTATCTAATCCCCACTTGAAGCCGTCCACGCTTGTAGCCGCTGCCACCTCCTGTGGCAGTGAATTCCATGTGTTAATCACTCTTTGGGTGAAGAAGAACTTCCTTTTATCTGTTCTAACCCGACCGCTCAGCAATTTCATGGAGTGCCCACAGGTTCTTGTATTGTGAGAAAGGAAGAAAAGTACTTCTTTCTCTACCTGCTCTATCCCAAGCATAATCTTATAAACCTAGATCATGTCACCCCTCAGTCGTCATTTCTCCAAGCTAAAGAGCCCCAAGTGCTTTAACCTTTCTTCATAGGGAAAGTGTTCCAACCCTTTTATCATTCTAGTTGCCCTTTCCTGCACTTTTTCCAATGCCATAATATCCTTTTTGAGGTGTGATGACCAGAACTGTACACAATACTCCAAATGAGGTCACACAATTGATTTATACAGGTGATGTCTTATAGAAACCTCTCTTAAAATGCTTAACCAAGACATTCCTAATATAGTTTATAATCCCTGTGATGAGAAAGAGGGTGTAAATATAACCTGCTCCTTAAGCAGGGGCTGGCCCTCTACATTAAGGCGGTCATTGTTTTACTGGTCTTCTTTCAGGACCTTTAGCAACAGCCTGATACAAAAACAGCTGAAACCATTTTTCTTCTGACACACTGACAAAAGGGATTGGAAAGCTCCACCTGCTTAATTGCTGCCTGTGAAAATGATGTTAAAGGCACAGGGGCAGGGCCTGTTAAAAAAAGAAGGTCTTCAAAGTTAGCATAGCAAAACAGGTAAGAGACTGAGGCTGCAATACCTCCTGTTAACAGGGTGCAAATCCCACTGAACTCAGTGAGACTTACTTCCAAGCAAAGAGCCATAAAATTTATTTATTTTGTTCAATTTCTTAACTGCCCTTCCCCGCTTATGCGGGGCTCAGGGCGGTTTAGAAGAAGAAGAAGAGAAGAGATTGGATTTATACCCCGCCCTTCACTTGGAGTCTCAGAGCGGCTTACAAACTCCTTTCCCTTCCCCTCCCCACAACAACCACCCTGTGAGGTGGGTGGGGCTGAGAGAACTCTGACACAAACTGTTCTTTTTCAAGGACAGCTGTGCCAGAGCTTGTGACTAACCCAAGGTCACATCAGCAGGTGCAAGTGGAGGAGTGGGGAATCAAACCCGGTTCTCCCAGATTAGAGTCCGCACACTTAACCACTACACCAAACTGGCTCTCTCTTTTATGTTTACAGCAACATAAAATCCAATACAATTTTAAAACCAGTTAAAACTACAACATTCTATATTAAAACTATAAAAACTAAAAAAATGATACTATATCTTGAGAGCGACAATGACCAAACCTCATCTCCGCCTTGAACTGACTATGCAGCCTTAGGAAAGCCACTGTGGCTCAAAGAAGAATCTGGGAGACCAGGGCCAAATGCCAACTTGTGCCATGGAAGCTGGATAGGTGACCTCAGGCCAGTCACACTCTCAGCCTAATCTACCTGACAGGGTGGTTGTGAGGATAGACCAGAGAATAACAGAATGATGTAAGCCACTTTGTGTCCCCACTGGGAAGAAAAGCAGGATATAAACGAAGTAAACAAAAATGTCAAAACCCCCATCTACAACATTGCTATAAAGATCCTGACCCACCTTACAGAATTGTTGTAAGATACATGTGAAGACTACAGAATTTCCCCCCCAATATTCCCCCTGCAAGCATTCCCTCATCTTTTAGAGCCAGAACCACTCGCTAAGAAAATCTAAACAATACCCAAGCCCAAATCTCTCCTCTACCATAAACTCACTTTACTGCTTCAGGGAAGGCCCCCCCCCCGTAATATGGTGAACAACAGTACTGGTCTACCTTACAGGGCTGCTGTAGGAGAGCCAGTTTGGGGTAGTGGTTAGGAGCGCGGACTCTAATCTGGGAGAACCGGATTTGACTCCCCACTCCTCCACTTGCAGCTGCTGGATGACCTTGGGCAAGCCATAGTTCTGACAAGAGCTGTCCTTAAAAAAGAGCAGTTTCTGTCAGAGCTCTCTCAGCCCCACCTCGCTCACAGGGTGTCTGTTGTGGGGAGGGGAAGGGAGAGGAGTTTGTCAGTCGCTCTGAGTCTCCTTTGGGTAGTGAAGGGCAGGGTATAAATCCCATCTCTTCTTCTTCTGCTGCTGTTGTACAATTAAAATGATAATGTATGCAACAGGATCATTCCGGATCTTCCTTTCTTTTCTTTCTTCACATTTATAGCCCGCCCTTCCCAGAAGTGGGCCCAGGGCGGGTAACAGCACTTCATTTATACAAAATATATTAGTTAACGCAATAAATTTAAAGCATCATCATAAATATATATTAAAATGGTGGTCACAGCTGATAACCCGAAATTTCTGGTTGTGGGAGGTCCCTGGCCTTCTCATCCCCTCTTAAATCAAGTCTCCTTTTCCTGGCTTTGAAGGGGGCTTGTTATTAGGCAGCTGCTCCTCTCTGAAGCACCACTCAGGTCACGGAGATAAGGCCCCACTGGTGGACCTCCTGATGGCCCCTGGTGTTTTTGGCCACTGTGTGACACAGAGTGTTGGACTAGATGGGCCTTTGGCCTGATCCAACACTGGCTTCTCTTATGTTCTTATATGTAATGGGGGCCCTGCCTTCTCCTCCGTGGGTTTCGCCAGCCTTCGGCTCCCCTCAGCTAATCCCCCCCCCTTAAATAAGCCAACTTTATTCTTTTTCTTTTTAAAGCCCCACTTTAGGGGTGCTCCCCTCCCCCCCCCCCGCCCGTTCCCTCCAGTTCTCAAGCCCCACCCTCCTCTGTCCTCATTGGATCGCCCTTCACGTCATTTTTGAAATGTTTACAGGATTGGGGGAAGGTGATTGGCTGGGGGAAACGTCACTCGCCTATTTGAGGGGCGCGAGCGAACGCCTCAGCGGAACGGGGGCCCCTCTTCGACGCAGCGACGGCCGCACTTCCGGGCCCTTACCTGCATTTCGGCTCGAGGGGGGGCGTCCAAGTTGAGAGGGGGGGCCTTACCAATTATATTTCCCCTCCCTCGCCTTTCCTTTGCTCCGGGCGGCCGATAAAGTGTCCACAGACTCGAGCGACGCGGGCTCCATCTTCCTTCCCCCCCTTCCCCTCCGGATTGGCGGTTGAGATTCGAACGGCTTCCGGCAGAGCTCGCGATTCGGCTTCGCCCCCGCGGCCGATTGGCTGCTGAGGGCCGCGCGGCGAGGGCAGCCTTGTGACGCGATTGGCCAGCCGCGGCTGGGGGGGGGCAAGAGGTGGAGGAAAGGCGGCCAGGGCAATTGGCCCGTTCGGGCGCGCGCCGTTCGACACCCTGGGCTGGGATAGGACAGAGGGGCGTTGCGTCAGGGGGCTCTTGCTCTGCGATTGGTCGGTGGGCGGGTTTCTCTCCTCCCTCTCTTTGGAGTCAAGGCTTTGGTTAGTAAACAGGCGGGCGCATGCGCAAGGACGGTGGTCGGCAAGGGCCTGGTCCTGTCCTAGGCGTCTCGACTCGTCCTCCTAAAGAGGTAAGGAAAGCTTTCCTCGAGCGACGGTGACGAGGCAGCCCCAGGAGGGCCGCTCCTCCTCTCCAAGCCAGCAGGCTTACTCTCCCCCTCAAGCCGGAGCGGCCTGGCACGTCTAGTCGGGCTTTATCTCCCCCCCGGGGGGAGGGGCCAACAGCTGGAATTCTGTGAGGTTTCCAACCTCCAGGTGGGGCCTGGAAATCTCCTGGAATGCCAACTTCTCTCCACCCAACAGAGATCAGTTCCCCCTGGAGAAAATGGCTCTTTTGGAAAGTAGACTCTATGGTATTGTACCCCACTAAGGTCCCTCCTCTCTCCAGGTTCCAGCCCCAGATCCCCAAGAATTTCCAACCCTGGAGTTGGCAACTCGGGCAGTGCTGCTTCTCTTCCCACCCCCCTTTCCTCTCCAAAACCAGTCCCACTGGCCCCAGGTGCTTACAGCGTATGACCCAATTGCTCCCATTTATCAGATTACCTCTCTTTTTTTGTCCCTGCTAATTTTTGTTTTGCTCGTCTTTGGAGGATTTGCAGCAGGCTGTCAGTGTGAGTTGTTCAGAGACAGCTCATACCTTGTGCCTGAGCTCACATCCCAGAATGTGGCTGGAAGGATGCGTTTTTTGAGAGTGACTACTAAGGCCCTCTAAATGTGCACAGCAGGCCACTGCATGCATTGCAGCTGTCGAGACGTGTTTTTGAGTGGTGATAACATATTGCCAGACAGTTTTTTCCCCTCTGATCAAGAACTTTTCTGCAATCCGCTAATCCATTGCTTGCAACAGAGAGAAGTCCCAGCCTTCACTTTTCTTTTTTGTACTGATTTAGTAATTTGTCCATACACAATTTTGTTAGCTTCTTAGTGCATACTAATGGAAAGGTAGAATATAAATGAAATAAATGTCTGTACCTGCAAGAACAAACGCTCTCAGTTTTTAAATCATCAGAGAGGCCCTTACGGAGTAACTGAGTATGGCACAGGGTAGAACTTTCAACAGTGTAATTGGGGTGTGTGGGTCAGACAATGAGACTTGATACAAGAGTAAGGATACTACAAGCTTGTCCCTTTTTTCATCACTTCGTTTCATCGTCTGATGAAGTGTGCTTGCACATGAAAGCTCACACCTTGAATAAAACTTTGCTGGTCTTAAAGGTGCCCCTGGACTCTTTGTTCTTTTTTTCGTCAGTTAGCATTACGATGGGCAAGGGAAAGTCCAAGAGTCCTGCACCTCTTCTCCCCAAAATATGGATGCAGAATTGCTTCCTAGATTCCTGGTTCCTAGCCCCCAGTAGGTGCAGAATGTGTCCTGCTGCACACACAAACGTCTAGCCAGGTGACTTCTCCCTCACACATACAGAGTCAGAGATGGAGTTCAAGATAATTCTCCCTGTCCCGTGCTCATAGCCAAGTGCAAAACCCAGGGAGTTCTGTTTGCTTTCTAACTTCAACAGCAACCAAAGAGGAACACACAGTGTAGGTATACAAGGAAATAGTAATCTGTGTGAAAAAGACGCTAACACTGGTTCAGTAAAGACCAAAGCATTTATACAGTTACAATCATATAAGCACAATCAAGTCCAATCTTAAAGTGGAAAAGTTTCCTCTTGAGATGAAGACGTATGAAGAATGATAAATGAAGAATCCAGATATTAAGAACTCCGTTTCGAAGAACTTCCTCAATAATGAAACATGGAAGAAATTACATCATAACAATAATACCACATATAGTGTAAGGTAAAATAATTGCAGTAGTAACAAGATATGCTGGCCTGGATGAATCACAAGCGGAAATTAAGATTGCTGGGAAAAAGATCAACAACCTCAGATATGCAGACGATACCACTCTAATGGCAGAAAGTGAAGAGGACCTAAAGAGCCTCTTGCTCTGGGTAAAAGAGGAGAGCGCAAAAGTGGGCTTGAAGCTCAACATCAAAAAAACTAAGATCATGGCATCCGGCCCCATCACTCCTTGGCAAATAGAAGGGGAAGTCGTGGGAGTAGTGACAGACTTCACGTTCCTGGGATCCCAGATCACCGCAGACTGTGACAGCCATGAAATTAAAAGACGCCTGCTCCTTGGGAGGAAAGCGATGGTGAACCTAAACAGCATGATAAAAAGTAGAGACATCACCCTGCCAACAAAAGTCCGCATGGTCAAAGCAATGGTATTCCCAGTAGTCATGTATGGCTGTGAGAGTTGGATTATAAGGAAGGCCGAGCACCGAAGAATAGATTCTTTTGAACTATGGTGCTGGAGAAGACTCTTGAAGAGAGTCCCTTGGACTGCAAGAAAATCAAATCAGTCAATCCTAAAAGAAATCAACCCTGACTGTTCCCTGGAAGGCCAGATAATGAAACTGAAGCTCAAATACTTTGGCCACCCAATGAGAAGGGAGCACTCACTGGAGAAGACCCTGATGCTGGGAAAGATTGAAGGTCAAAGAAGACGGGGACGGCAAAGGATGAGATGGTTAGACAGTGTCATAGATGCAACAAACATGAAATTGAGCAAACTTCAGAGGATGGCGGAAGACAGGAGGGCCTGGCGTGATCTGGTCCATGGGGTCGCAAAGAGTCGGACTCGACTGTGCGACTGAACAACGAAAAACAGATATGTTTAAATACCTGAAACAATATATCTTCAAATAGGTTATATGCACTCTTTTGAGTTACAGCCACACATCTCCTGGGTTAAAATGTGTAAGTCAAGTACCATAAGTATAAACATAATATAAACTGAAGTATAAAAGAATAATGATGCAGTTCTTAATATCCGGATTCTTTATTTTCCATCCTTTCATACGTCTTCATCTCAAGAGGAAACTTTTCTACTTTAAGATTGGACTTAGTCGTGCTTATATGATTTTATTTGTATCAGTGCTTTGGTCTTTATTGAAACAGTGTTAGCGTCTTTTTCACACAGATTACTATTCCTTTGCTTTCTAACTTCAGACAGAAGACAGGCAAAGAACCCTGTAATAGATAGCCACCATTGTTCAGCTATGGGAACTGGGTTATAAGCAATGGGAGATGCATTCGCTCAGGTAATACAATGACAGAGAGATTACAGAGAGTTGTCAAATGGCTAGGTGGATCTTTTTCTCCATCTGCCTGTACTTTCTTGTAAGGACCTGTGTCCCAGTTGGATAACCCTTTGCTAGAAGAATAGAGCTGATGTTTGTGTAGCCATTTCTTACCATGATGAATAGTTGCCAGACGGTATTTAATCTGCTGCTTGGTTGCCGTGCAGAGCTCTTCTTGGCAGGTCCTGCAATGGAAGGCATGGTGCAGTTTCTCCCTCCCCCTTCACTTATTACCCTGGCGACGGATATTGCAAGCAGTGGATTGTGACTTTAATGTGGAATGAAATCAGGGGGTGGGCCAAGATAAGCAAAGAACAGGCAGGTGAAAAACATCTCTTTATATAGGAAGTCAGTGCTCTCAGCATGTTTTGCTGTTGTGTGAATATGACATGTAATAGTCTATGTCTATGGTAATATTAGAAATGAACCTTAATCTTGAAGAGCATCATTGGAAAAGACAGCCTGGAGGAGACGATAATGTTCCGGGATGGTTAACTCCTAACTGGGAAAGTCACTGCGCTTTTTAAAAAACACCACATTTGATCTTTAAAAATGTATTGTCTGGCTTTTAGCCCTCAAAGCCACGCTTTAGTCTTTAGCACAAAAGCAAGAAGGCATTTTAAAGACCTTGTAATTCTGACAATAATTTATTATTTTGTTCTGGAGTTTTCAGATGAGAACTCAGCTTTTTTGGTGTGGAATTAAAGAATTCCAGGTTTTCTCCCCCTTGCTCAAAACCACTACATTTTCTTTCACATCAGTTTCTTGGGTTTCGATGAACTTATTTGGGTAAGTGTCTAAGGGCACTTTCCTGGGGCTAAACTCCATTGAATAAAATGGGGCTTACTTCTGAGTAGACCTGCTTAAGATGGCTCCTGTAGTCTTATTATTGTAAAGCTGTGTGAGAGGAAGAGGTAATCTGTACTGTCCCTTCATATATCCATATGCAGTGGAAGTTGAAGCAGTGTTCCTGTTTCTCCTATCTGGCCCTCTTTGAGGTTCATCCTGTCTTCCCCTGGACAGCACAGCTGGGATATATGCAGATTCGTGCCTATGACTTTGTCTCATCCAAATAATTGCAAGCAGTTTTTGCCCAGATGTGTTGTAGAGGCATTTCCTCAGACCAAAGATAGATATTTAGAATCAGGTCTGTTGATTACACTCAAAAACCTGCTTTCCTCCCAGGCAAGTGACCCAAGATGGGCAACAGATGACTCAAGCAACAGTATCTCTAAAAATGTAGGCCACATGATGCCTTGTGTTAAGATCTGACACCCCCCCCCAAAAAAAAAGAACATAATGTGGAGTACGGGCTTCTCCGGGGCTCTTCCTCAGGCTGGACATTCAAGAATACAAAACAAATTGCCCGCATCCTGCTCTGTGAGTTGATTGTATGCCAATAAAGGTTAACTGAACTGAACTGAGAGTTGATCTAAACTACAGGGTTAAGTATCTCTTTAGAGTTATGCTGCTAGGGTGTCTGGAATGAAAATTTTACAAAGGAGGAGGGGGCTGTGGCTCAGCGGAAGAGCATCTTCCCGGCATGCAGAAGGTTCCAGGTTCAATCCCCGGCATCTCCAGTTACGAGAACCAGGTAGTAAGTGACTTTTGCCTGAGACCCTGGAGATCTGCTGCCAGTCTGAATGGACAATACTGACCTGGATATCAAGGGTCTGATTCAGTATAAGGCAGCTTCATGTGTGAAACAGTCAATTCTTCTCCCTCTTCTGAGTTTCTAATGCCCCCAAGCGTTTGTTTTGAGTCACTGAAAATATCTAGAACCACGTTTTGAGTCCAGGGGCACCTTTAAGACCGACGGAGTTTAATTCTGGGTTGTAAGCTTTCATGTGGCAGTGGTTTCCCAGGGTTTCAGGCGCACGTGCTGGTTTTCTCTTTGGGATGGGGAGACGGAATAACGTGGATTGGAGAAGAGCTACTGACATAGGCAAGAGCCGTGGCCCAGCTCTGGCTTCACCCACAGACAGTATAAGCAGGCAAAGCAGCAGAATTGGTTGTGGGGGACTTAATCCACCAGACATGGTATCGTTTCTTTGGACAGTAAATCTTCTACAGCGGAATGCAACTGCATAATGCTAAGTGAGGGGGGGAAACTAAGCAGACAGCTGACATTCCTTCCACGTTGCACAAGAGTAGTCAGAGAAAGCTGGTCTCTCTCCCTGCCCAGCAGCCTAAACACACAAAACCTGGAAAATGTATTAAGAGCATCAGAAGAGCCCTGCTGGATCAGACTAATAGTCCTTCTAGTCCAGCTTCCTGTCTTGCACAGTGGCCAACCAGTTCCTCTGGATGGCCAACAACGGGGCATGGAGGCCAAGGCCTTCCCCTGATAAGAACATCAGAAGAACCCTGTTGGATCAGAGAAATGGTCCATCTAGTCCAGCATCCCGTCTCACACAGTGGCCAACCTCTGGACAGCCAACAATGGGGCACAGAGGCCAAGGCCTTCCCCTGATATTGCCTCCTGGCTCTGGGATTCAGAGGATTGGTGCCTCGGAATCTGGAGGTTCCCCTCAGTCTGGTTTTATGCCTGGTTTTATGGAACAATACTAGCCAGTTCCTCTGGATAGCCACCAACGGCATGGAGGTTGAGGCCTTCATAAGAACATCAGAAGAGCCTTGCTGGATCAGGCCAGTGGTCCATCTAGTTCAGCATCCTGTCTCAGAGTGGCCAACCAGTTCCTCTGGAGGGCCAACAACAGGGCGGAGAGGCCAAGGCCTTCCCCTGATAAGAACATCAGAAAGAGCCCTGCTGGATCAGACCAGTGGTCCATCTAGTTCAGCATCCTGTCTCAGAGTGGCCAACCAGTTCCTCTGGAGGGCCAACAACAGGGCGGAGAGGCCAAGGCCTTCCCCTGATATTGCCTCCTGGCTCTGGGATCCAGAGGACTGGTGCCTCGGAATGTGGAGGTTCCCCTCAGTCTGGTTTTATGCCTGGTTTTATGGAACAATACCAGCCAGCATCTTCAAGGCCTTCTTTCTTTTCCAGGGCTGAGTCCTAGTCTCCAGTTTCCGATGCCCCCTTCAAGCTTCCTGCACTTCTCACGTTCCTTGATTAAACTCAGCAGCGTCCCTCAGGCCCCGAGGCTGTGGGGAAAGCACTGTTTCCTGTTGCCTCAGACGTCTGGCGCTTTATTCCTCCTGGCCAGAAAGAAGAGCTCCGAAGACCTCTCGCCTCTGAATGAAGCGGACTTGGAAGAGCAGTTTGTGCGGGGGTCGGGGCCCGGAGGCCAGGCGACAAATAAAACCAGCAACTGTGTGGTCCTGAAGCATATTCCTTCGGGGATTGTAGTCAAGGTGACTCCGTTGGCACTTGCGCTTTCATAACGGTTGCTTTTTGCCGGGTTGTACGTCACTTCACATGAATCTGATATTTAGAGCAATGCATGTTTGTAATTAGCCCCCTGATCACCAGTGGTGAGTAATAATCACATTCCAGGCGAGCAGATGAGAAGCTTTGATGCCACAAATGTTAACACAGATGCTTGTGGGCATCGGGGCTAGTAAAATCGACCTCTGTGTACATCCGATTGCTGAATGTTTTAGTGAGTGACTTTCACATCGACTTCAATTGGCCCTTTCTTACACACCCAGGGAAATGCTGATCCCCACTTGAGGGTCACAAAACAATTTTCTCCAGGCCACTTTGGCCAGGGGTCCTGGAGGGGTTCCCTCCTGGGCATAGAGCAGGGGTCACTTGGGAGTGTGTGTTGGGGGGGGGGAGGTGTTTGTGAATTTCCTGCATCGTGCAGGGGGTTGGACTAGATGACCCTGGAGATCCCTTCCAACTCTATGATTCTGTGACCAGCTCCCCTTTAACTGAGCAGCCTGTTTCACCCCAGAGTCTTTATGAGGCTGCCAGGTGCTCGTCAACATGTGACAGAAATATCATTTCCGTACTCGAAGACTGAACTGTCATGCAGTTAATGGAGTGCAACAGTATGGCCATACTTCAGAGGAAGCGGTTTTACAGTGTACAGCTCTCCAGGAACGCATGAAGCGGCCCTATACTGAATTAGACCATCGGTCCATCAAAGTCAGTATTGTCCACTTAGACTGGCAGCGGCTCCCCAGGGTCTCAGGCCGAGATTCCTCACATCACCTATAACCCGATCCTTATTGGAGATGTCAGGGACTGAGCCTGGGTCCTTGGGCATGCCCACCGGATGCTCTACCCCTCCCCAAAGCGCCGCAGCATCTTGCAGAATAAGATCTAGCTATCGCTGCACCCTCTGGCTTTCTTAATGACTTGCATCCAATGTTCCCTCTAAGCTGTGGAGTCCTATGAGCAAAAATTCTACTCTGTGAGCTCCTGACATTAAAGTTGTGAGCAAGTGATTTGGTTACTGCATAAATCAGTTTGCTCTGGAGCCGTCCTTCCTGAGCTAAGACAAAAATGTATGAGCTGGAGGCTAAAAAACTGTGAGCTAGCTCACACTAACTCAGCTTAGAGGGAACAGTGCTTGCATCCCCCCAAGAAACCAAAGAGTTAGGATAGGGATGGAAAGCAGGTGCGCTCTACCTGTATCCCATTTTCTCCCTATATTCACAAGATTTCTGTGACTCCGTGTGCTCAGCCCCTATAAGTAGTCTCTCTGGCTACTGCAGTCTCTGTGTGCTGCTGCTTATCTGTCCTTTCCCTCCAGGCCCAGCTGCTGCCTATTCAATAAATGAATTTTCTTCCCCCCCCCCCACCCAGTGTCATCAAACACGATCGCTGGAGCAGAACCGCCAGAAAGCCAGAGAAATCCTGCAGGAGAAAGTGGACGTCTTCTACAAAGGCGAAACCAGCGAGGTCGTGAAGGAGAAAAAGGAGCTGGAGAAGAAGAAGCAAGTAAAGAGGCAGAAGGCGAGGGAGAACCTGGAAAGGAAGAGACGTTTGAAAGAGCTGCGAGCACTGGAGGACAAATAAGGAGCATTTGGGCACCTGCTTTTCCCCTGACTACCACACCCCCTCCCCAAATAAAAATGCCTTTTGCATGTTGGTAGAACTCTGTTTTTTCCCTTTCAGGCTGGGTACACTCTTTTTTGGTAGGAAAAGCCCAGCAGGAACTCATTAGCATAATAGGCCATGCCCAACAGCAGGAACACATTAGCATATTAGGCCACACCCCTGACAGTGCCTCATTAGCATATTAGGCCACACCCCATGCCTTCCCTTGGCTTGCCCGGGTGTCCTGCAGCTGTGGGGAACCTGGACAAGCCCCCCCCCTTTGAAGGGAAGGCAGTTTAAATTGCCTTCTCTTGGCTTGGCAGGGCGCCTCGCGGCTGCGGGGAGCCCAGGCAAACCGACCCTTGGACAGGCCGGGGAAGGCACGGGGAGGCATTTGAATGCCTCCCCCGATCCTTCCAGGGGCTCTCCTGGCCCGCCCGCCTCAGAGTCGTGGGGGGTCCGCTCTCCAGGCCTTCCCTCTGTAGCCATGCACGCAGAGGATTTGGCTGTAGTGGGCGTAGCCAACTCTGAAGCCAGCCGGAACTCTGTTCCTGTGCGTTCCTGCCCCAAAAATAGCTCTCTGTGTGATGACGAAATAAGAATTTGCAGTTGCCAGAAGATAGACTTGCAGTTCCAAGAGTGAAAATGCAGGTGATAGTACCAGGGCGACGTGGTTGGCTTTTCCTCTGCGTTGCCCCAGCCTCTCATGGCACAAAGCCCCCTGGATGCTTTTTCCAAGGCAGAATCACAGAACATTCCCCTGGATTTCTGAAACTTGTTCCGTACTTTTTGTCGAAAGCAGTGGAGCCAAGTTCTTCCCTTCCTGCACAAAGTTACTGGATCAATGTGGGACATTACAGATGGAACCACCTCCCTCTCTTGGTGAATAGTCTTTCTTTTGAAGTAGTTTGCTATCCACACTCTTAAGCACTGGCCTCCAGCCGATTTTGTCACATACAGCAATTAAGCCCTACCTCGTCAGCAAAGTAGACCAGGTACAGAGAAGGAGAAAACGGTGTCAGCCAGAGCCCTGCCGAGACGAAACAGTGGCATTCCCGAGCCATGTGACAGCATGTGAGAAGCCTGCAGCGTGCGACGGGAGATTCATTCCTTGGTCATTCACTATAGTGGACTTTCACCTGAAGCATCGAACCTCCAAACAACTGCAGGGGAACAGCTGCCCTCCCACTTTGGCGCAGTGGTTAGGAGCGACGGACTCTAATCTGGGAGAACCGGGTTTGATTCCCCACTCCTCCACATGCAGCTGCTGGTGTGGCCTTGGGTCAGCAACATGTTATCTTAGAGCTGTTCTCGAACAGTCCTCAAAAGAGCTCTCAGCCCCACCTACCTCCCCGGGTGTCTGTTGTGGGGAGGGGAGGGGAAGGGAAAGGAGATTGTAAGTTGCTCTGAGACGCCTTTGGGTAGTGAAGGGCGGGGTAGAAAGCCAGTCTCTTCTCTTTGTCCTACCAGTACCAGAATGGATGATTAAAAATGAAAGACTTGTATTTATGTATCTTGCCCTCTCTCAAGTGAGTTATTCAGCAAGCAGGTAAGGCTGGGCCAAGAGCACCCCAGTCCTTACCTAGGCAGTGTGGTAATCCATGAGGCGCTAGCCCAAACTATGAAGTTTCTGTAGGGCTACGTGGAACCATATGGGCCCCCTTGTATCCCCCTGACAGCTACTTAAACAAAGGGTGCAATAACTTCTGGCAAAACAGCTCCTTCTGCAGAGTCACCACGTGAACATAAGACAAGTCTGCTGGATCAGACCACTGAGGGTCCATCTAGTCCAGCATCCTGTCTCACACAGTGGCCAACCAGCTCCTCTGGAGGGCCAACAACAGGGCAGAGAGGCCGAGGCCTTCCCCTGAGAAGGACATCAAAAGAGCCCTGCTGGATCAGACCACTGAGGGTCCATCTAGTCCAGCATCCTGTCTCACACAGGGGCCAGCCAGTCCCTCTGGAGGGCCAGCAACAGGGCAGAGAGGCTGAGGCCTTTCCCTGACATGAACACCAGAAGAGCCCTGCTGGGTCAGACCACTGAGGGTCCCTCTAGTCCAGCATCCTGTCTCACACAGGGGCCAACCAGCTCCTCTGGAGGGCCAACAACAGGGCAGAGAGGCCGAGGCCTTCCCCTGAGAAGGACATCAAAAGAGCCCTGCTGGATCAGACCACTGAGGGTCCATCTAGTCCAGCATCCTGTCTCACACAGGGGCCAGCCAGTCCCTCTGGAGGGCCAGCAACAGGGCAGAGAGGCTGAGGCCTTTCCCTGACATGAACACCAGAAGAGCCCTGCTGGGTCAGACCACTGAGGGTCCCCCTAGTCCAGCATCCTGTCTCACACAGGGGCCAGCCAGTCCCTCTGGAGGGCCAGCAACAGGGCAGAGAGGCTGAGGCCTTTCCCTGACATGAACACCAGAAGAGCCCTGCTGGGTCAGACCACTGAGGGTCCCTCTAGTCCAGCATCCTGTCTCACACAGGGGCCAACCAGCTCCTCTGGAGGGCCAACAACAGGGCAGAGAGGCCGAGGCCTTCCCCTGACGTTGCCTCCTGGCTGTGGGATTCAGAGGATTAGTGCCTCTGAATGTGAAGGTTCCCCTCAGTCACCGTGGCTAGTAGCCACTGATAGACCTATCGTCCATGAATGTGTCTAGCTCCCTCTTCAAGCTACGCACACTCATGGCCATCGCTACCTCTTCTGGCAATGAATTCCACAGCTTAATTACCTGTTGCATAACGAAGTATTTCCTTTTCCAGCCCTAACTTGAACCCCTTCCCCAACAATTTCATTGAGTGGACCCCAAGTTCTGGTATTAAGGGAGGGGAAGGAAAAATCTCCCTCTACCTACTTTCTCTCCCTATATCTAGTTTCTCTACCTGTGCATAACTGTATAACCCCTGATCACATCTTTCCTCTTGGATGCCTCTTTTCTAGACTGAAAAGGTCTGAAAGGCCCCCTGGGTCTGATCATCCGAGTCCACTAGAGACCTTCCCACACTTTCCAGGCTTGCAGCTAGACTGTGGGCCAGATACCTGCCCCCCCTGCTGACATTTAAAGGGGCGCCATGCTGTGTTTTCAGAACTGGACCACTTTACAGGACAGCTGAAACCTGCAAGGAGGTTCGTACCACTCCCCCCCCCTTTCAGGGTGGCTCAGGGCTTTTTAGGGATCTCTGAGGGAGAGGGGGGGGTCACAATTAGAACCAGGGCTCATTTCCTGCAGGAGCGCACAGGAGCGGAGCTCCGGCAGTAAAGAGCCCAGGGGATGGGCACATGCAACAAGCCCCACCCCCTGCTCCCAGCAGCCCTCAATCAGAGCAAGAAGCAGCCAGGTAAGTTGCAGAGGCCCCCCCATCCCGGTCCAAAACAGTCCAGTGGCACCTTTAAGGCCACGTTTTATTCAGGTACAAGCTCTCCCTCCTCTGCGAGGACAGATCTGCATGTCCCCCCCCCCCCCATTGCTTGGAAACCCAAAAAATCCCAGGGGGGCCAGCCTGAGCGGTGGGTGTTGCCTTCTGACACACTTCCAGCGATGTCAGGGGGCGTGGCATATGCAAATGAGTTATGCTAATGAGCTCCTGCACCTCTTTTTCTATGAAATGGCCCCTGATTAGAACTAAGGGCAGCAAAAAAAAACCACCCACCCCCTTTTCTTTCTTGCAGCTGTATCCCTTCTTTCAGCAGACCAACAGGACGAAAGATAGATCCAGGTGGGGTCGCCGTGTTGGTCTGAAGCGACAGAACAAAGTCTGAGTCCCGCAGCGCCTCTAAGACCAACGAAGAAGTTGAATTCTGAGTATAGGCTTCCGTGTGCACGCACCCGTCTTCAGATGCAAACCCTGGGAGTAGCCCCAGCTCCGCTTGGAATGGGGAGGTGACCCAAGAGGTGAGCGGAGGGCCTTTGGAGAGGGGCAGGGTCCCCCCCCCCCCAACTGGCATTCAACGATGCCCCGAATTTTCATTCAGTTGCTGTATTTCTGTGCCTCTGCTGCCCCCTGCTGGGATCTCGGATCTACTGAACTCTTTAACACCCAAGAGAATGCAATACTTGCGTGCACGCTTCTTGATAAATACAAACCGTTAATGAAAATAAGCTTTATTACATCAAGTAATAAATACATACAAAGATGCAAATAAGCCTTAGTCGCTTATCTGGATTCCCCCCCCCCCTTGTGTATTTTTTCTTGTGTGGCAAAGTTACCGTTTTAAACCTTGGAAGAAATCACGCTAGTTTGGGGTCCCCTTAACAGGATTTAACAGACCGTGTTCTGTTCTCATGCACTTTAAATGGTTTCCAAAATATGAACAGTCATGTGGAGAGAGAAAAAGGATGGGGGGTGAGGGTTAAATGGAATTTATGGTTTGTGTGTCAGGCTATGTGAATTAGGAAGCTTATTGATGTGGGTGGGGGGGATTAATCTCTGTCCTCAACATGAAATCCTTAGAAGGTGAACATACGGGCAGTTAGGGGAGTGTTTGCCACAGCGTCTTCAAGGAACTTATTCCATATTGGTCCGGCATGTGCCCTGGAATCCCAATGCACTGCAAAGGATCATGGGGCGTGACCCCAGTTTTCCCGCCAAATACTCCTGCAACTAAAAACGTCATGGGAAGGTTGCTTTTTTTCTGACCACCCTCCTCTTGAGGAACCTTTTGGGGCACCCCTGGAATGCAGCTTGTAAACAAGAGACAGAAAATGAGACTGGAAGAAAAGTAAACCGAGTGGAACTCTTCCAAATGGATTCAGGGGAGCATCCAACCGAACGGAAATGTTGCCAGCTCTCCTCGTTCAAAGGGAGGAAGGCGGGACCTCATTCTTTGTCGAACTGCTTCTGAAACAAAGCGGAGTTTCAAAAACAGGCGGGGCCGGGGGGGGGGATCGGTCACGCAAAAGCACAAAAAGGTCCGAACATTCTACCGGGGGCACACGGCTCTTGGGAGCATCTCAAGTCGCTCTTTGGGTCCCAGCCCACATTCTTGAAAAGGGCAGGGGGAGGAGAGAATAGTCCAATTAAGGTTTTTTTCTGAATGTTCCCATCGTCTCCAAAGGAATCCTCTGTCTTGTTCGTAAAGAGGTGGAAAACCTCGCCGCTCGAGAGGGCAAGCTAGGATCGCGCGTTCCGCTCGGTCTCTGCCAAACACTCCCGAACTAATCCTCTAGCGTGAATGATGCCTGCAAAACAGATACAGACCTTTGGTTTGGACTGGCTTTAAAAATATCTCATGTTGAGGAAGCGTTAGATAATTAGTTCTGGCCAATGCTCCCTCTAACCGAAGGGTGTCAAACATGCGGCTGGCCCCTGGAGGCTCCTATCAGGCCCGCAGTGCAACCGGCTGTCTTCTGCTGCTTCTTCCAGTTCCGCTGCTGCTGCGTCATCGTAGGTTTGCAGCTTACAGGAACACACCTGAACGGCATACTCAAGATTGCAACAGCACAGACATTTTGATGCAATAATTCAGAGCAAGAGGTGTCAGTTACCAGTCACTGTTCAATAAACAAAATATTGCAAGAGTGCTAATGTTTTAAGCATGTTTTTATTTTAAGTTAAAAACACCCCTTTGTGTTTGTGTCCTTGATAAAGTTTATATCTCTGCTACCTGGCATTACATTTTATGACACGCATGGCCCGGCCCAACAAGGTCTCATTTATGTCAGATCCGGCCCTCATAACAAATGAGTTCGACACCCCTGCTCTAAGCTGTGGAGTCTTGTGAGTAAAAATTTTACTTGGTGAGCCCCCGGCATTAAAGTTGTGAGCGAACGATTTGGCTGCTGTATAAATCAGTTTGCTCTGGAGCTATCCTTCCTGAGCAAAGGCAAAAATGTGTGAGCTGGAGGCTAAAAAACGGTGAGCTAGTTCACACTAACTCACCTTAGAGGGAACACTGGTTCTGGCCGAGGAAAATCCCAGCCCCTGTATAGCAGAGAATTCTCCTGCACAAACCCTGTTTAAATGCTCTTGTGCAGGAGAGATTCCCTGTTCTCGACCCAAGCACTGTTGACAAGAAGATAGTGAAAATGATGGAACTAGAGAGCCAGGGTGGTGCAGGGGATAGAGTGACAGGCCAGGACCCTGGGCGACCCGGTTTCAGATTCCCTCCTCTACCACGGAAACTTGCTGGGTGACCTTGGGCCTTTCAGAAACTCTCCGCCTGGCCTACCCAACAAGGTTGTTGTTGTGAGAATGGAGGAGGCGAGAACTATGTTCTAAGAGGCATTTTGAGCCCCCACTGTGGACGAAGGTGGAATATCAAATAAATAAATGCAAATGCCTCCATTGTGTGTTTGGATCCAGACGAGTAGCCATATTAGTCTGTCTGTAGCAGTAGAAAAGAATTAGAGTGCCTCACATTCTGTCTGTAGCAGTAGAAAAGAATTAGTAGTGCCTCACATTCTAACTGTATCTGAAGAAGTGAGTGGTGACTCACGAAAGCTCCTCCCCTGCCACGAATTTTTCTTGGTCTTCAAGGTGCTCCTGGACTCTGGCTCTTTTCTACTGTTTGCTTAAGCAAGCTTATAACAGCTGTCACCATTTGTATAGAGCAGAGGTGTCAAACTCGTTCGTTACGAGGGCCGGATCTAAAATACATGTCACTTGGTTGGGCCGGGCCACGTGTGCCATAAAAATGTAACGCCGGGTACTAAAGATAGAAACTGTATAAAGGACACTGACAGACCCAACAAACAATATTATTTTTTTTACTCAAAATACAAACAAAAGCAATAGATTTCTAGCAGCGAAAGCAATCGATTTACTGGGGCATCCGTAAAAGCCTCAATAAATGCATTTAATCAAGACTAGTTTTTTTTCCCCTAAGGGATACCATAAAAGGGGGAGCACCTTAGATTTCTATACATACCGGTTGCTTGCGGGCTGGGTTAAGAGGCCTGGGCGAGCCGGTTCTGGCCCCCGGGCCTTGACACCCCTGGTATAAGAGTTCTCAGGGTTCCGAGCCTTTCTCATGTTCTTTAGAACAGGCCTCTAAGGCTGACATTGTTAGACCCGTACTGCAGGTAGGCGGGAGGGAAGGGGGCATGGTGTAGCCTGGTCTCATCAGATCTGGGAAGCTAAGCAGGGCCGGTACTTGGAAGGGAGATCCCCAAGGAAGACTCTGCAGAGGAAAGCAAGGGCAAACTGGCCCCCGCTTTCTCACTTGCCTTGCAAGCCCCTTCTTGGGGTCACCACCATTAGTCTGCTGTGACTTGATGGTACCTACAAGTAGGGGACAGCGAGATTAACGACTCGACTAAGCTCCTCTCGGAAGTTCACAGCAATGGCCAAATTTTATGAGGAGGAGGAGGAGGAGGAGGAGATTGGATGTATACCCCTTGCCCTTCACTACCCAAAGGAGTCTCAGAGCGGCTTACAGACTCCTTTCCCTTCCCCTCCCCACAACAGACACCCTGTGAGGCAGGCGGGGCTGAGAGAGCTCTTAACAGAAACTGCTCTTTTTCAAGAACAGCTCTTATCAGAACTACGGCTTGCCCAAGGTCATCCAGCCAGGTGCAAGTGGAGGAGTGGGGGAATCAAACCCGGTTCTCCCAGATTAGAGTCGGCACACTTAACCACTACACTAAACTGGCTCTACACCTGGTATTACGTTTGCGTGCTTCAATACTGGAGACTCATGGCACAGTTTTCAGGGCTGGCGCATAAGCACATCCAGTCCCTAGAGTCCACATGCATAACAAGAAGAAGAGATTGGATTTCTACCCCGCCCTTCACTACCCAAAGGAGTCTCAGAGCGGCTTACAGTCTCCTTTCCCTTCCCCTCCCCATAACAGACACCCTGTGAGGTCGGCGGGGCTGAGAGAGCTCTTAACAGAAACTGCTCTTTTTCAAGAACAGCTCTTATCAGAACTACGGCTTGCCCAAGGTCATCCAGCCAGGTGCAAGTGGAGGAGTGGGGGAATCAAACCCGGTTCTCCCAGATCAGAGTCTGCACTCCTAACCACTGCACCAAACTGGCTCTCTGATCCCATCAAACTGATCCCCTCTCATGTCCTTAGGGCTGATTCACACATTATGGACTACACCAGTTGGATCTGGTGTGCCCCACCTTGTGCAAGACACAGGGGAGTCGCAGGTTCCCTTCAGTTGCCACGCGTGTGGTGCCCGATTCAGATCAGGACTACTATCCCCACTTGGCTATGAAGCTCTAAGGGTGACACGTGGGGCTAGCCACTCAGCCTAACCTACCTCGCAGGATCGTTGTGAGAATAAAATGGAAAAGGGATGAGCATCTTGGAGAACGGAATAGAAGCGGAGGGAGAAAAAGACAGTTCTCACTGCCTCGAGCTTCCCCCATTATCTTGCAAAGTTAAAAACTTTATTCCAGGTTTTGCATTAAGTGAAAGGGCCTTTTAAAAAGATCTCTTCCCCCCCCTCCAATTAGCTTGATTACCTCGTTTTAGCCGCTCCATCGCACTTTTACTTCCAGCGTACGTCGGCCTAATTTCTTTTCCTAATTCTTCTATGATGGCCAGGAGTTCTGCATACTTGCTCTGTGGGACTTGACTGCTGCCAGTACCCTGACGGAGTGGAAAGACACAGGCTACAAATGAGGCAAATAGTCAAGAGTCGTCAACAAACCTAAAAGCAGCCCGAGACAAATCAGTTCAGGCATCGGCAGCTTAAAGTGTGCATTTTAATCGGAATTATCTAGTGCGGGGAAAGCGATTGACTCCATGTGTAATGTCTAACAATCCCATGTTTTTCAGAGCTTTCTTCTAGGCAGCAGGCTGAAACACATCTTTTTTTACTCGGGCTTTTAATTACGGGTTTTATCTTGTCAGCTTTTGCTCTGTTTTATGGGACAGCTGTTATGCTGCTTATTGTCTAATGGGAGGGGAGGCAGCCAGTCTCATCAGATCGCAGAAGCTAAGTAGGGTTGGTTCTTGGGTGGGAGACCACCAAGGGAGACTCTGCAGAGGAAGGCCAGGGCAAACCACCTCTGCTTCTCACTTGCCTTGAGAGCCCCTTGCTGGGGTTGCTGTAAGCAGAGATGGTTCTTAGAAGGGAGACCACCAAGGAAGGCTCTGCAGGGGAAGGCCAGGGCAAACCGCCTCTGCTTCTCAATTCCCTTGAAAGCCCCTTGCTGGGGTTGCTTAAGGAGAGATGGTTCATAGAAGGGAGACCACCAAGGTAGGCTCTGCAGAGGAAGGCCAGGGCAAACCACCTCTGCTTCTCACTTGCCCTGGAAGCCCCTTGCTGGGGTTGCTGTAAGCAGAGATGGTTCTTGGAAGGGAGACCACCAAGGAAGGCTCTGCAGAGGAAGGCCAGGGCAAACCACCTCTGCTTCTCCCTTGCCTTGGAAGCCCCTTGCTGGGGTTGCTGTAAGCAGAGATGGTTCTTGGAAGGGAGACCACCAAGGAAGGCTCTGCAGAGGAAGGCCAGGGCAAACCACCTCTGCTTCTCACTTGCCTTGGAAGCCCCTTGCTGGGGTTGCTGTAAGCAGAGATGGTTCTTGGAAGGGAGACCACCAAGGAAGGCTCTGCAGAGGAAGGCCAGGGCAAACCACCTCTGCTTCTCACTTGCCTTGGAAGCCCCTTGCTGGGGTTGCTGTAAGCAGAGATGGTTCTTGGAAGGGAGACCACCAAGGAAGGCTCTGCAGGGGAGGGCCAGGGCAAACCACCTCTGCTTCTCAATTCTCTTGAAAGCCCCTTGCTGGCGTTCCTATAAGGAGAGATGGTTCATAGAAGGGAGACCACCAAGGAAGGCTCTGCAGAGGAAGGCAGTGGCGACTTGATGACATTTCCCAATGTACATTTCTCTAATGGCTTGTTTTTTAGACTGCATTTTTCATGGTACGCTGCCTCAAGCAGGAGTCCGAAAAGGTAGCACAGAAATATTTGAAATAAATTAATGTGCTTGAAAGGATTTTCTACAAAATATTAAAAAGTCTTATGGTTTTACTTCTCTTAACCCCCAGCATCACTGTCACCTATTAGAGCTGTCCACATTACTAATGGACTATAAGGGAACTTGTGGCAGGAGTGTTGATCTCTTCTTCCAGAGACTGGCTGGGCTGCTGTGATGTCACAGAATGGGTCGGAAGTTACAAGGGAGTCGTTACCGGCTAAATATCAGGAGAAACTTCCTAACTGTAAGAGTGGTTGAGCAGTGGAACAGGCTGCCTCAGGAGCTGGTGGATGCTCCCTCGCTGGACGTTTTCAAGTGGAGGCTGGACGACCATCTTTCGGGTATGTTGTAGGGCTCTCTTTTGGCTACGTTCCTGCAGAGTGCAGGGGGTTGGACTAGATGGCCTGCAAGGTCCCTTCCAACTCCAACATTCTATGATTCTATGACCAGTAGCTCTCTGGCAATGCTCCCTCTAAGCTGTGGAGTCTTGTGAGCAAAAATTCTACTTTGTGAGCTGCTGGCATTAAAGTTGTGAGCGAGCCATTTGGCGTCTGCATAAATTAGTTTGCTCTGGAGCCCTCCTGCCCAAGCTAAGGCAAAAACATATGAGCTGGAGGCTAAAAAAACTGTGTGCTAACCCACGCTAACTCAGCTCAGAGGGAACACTGCTCTCTGGCTGCCGCTTGCAGAGCTGATCTACTCTGATCCCGGGGAGGGGACCGAGCCGGTCTTGGAAGCTAAGTGTAGTGAGAACATTTAGAGTCATAGTTGGTTTGGGTTTAAAATGGAAACCACAGCATTTATATACTTAATGTAGCTTTTTTTGGGTCCGTATTAGTAAGCAGCTTGCATTTTGTTAGCCACACTGAACCAAATCTCCATGAACCTTTGCTAAGCCTTTGTTTCAAACAGACCTGCATGTACATAGGGAAAGGGCACACCTTCCATTCCCAGGACCAAAGCGACAACCTGCATTTGGCAGGAAAAGACCTTTTCTTGGACCAAGGGGCCATCATTTAGCAAAGCGACGACTCACAGAGACACCAAGGTTCATACCCCCACAGACACATCAGGCATGACACCAAGCTCTGTGGTATCTCATGCAAAAAGAACATCCGGACAAGAACAGAGAAAGAGTTGCCATTAAAAATGCAAAATGTTATCTAGCGTGTTTTGTAAACGGACTGTTTCTCTCTGGAATAGCTGGACTATCAAAACCTCGACTGATGTCAAACTGATGTCATCAACAAGTGTGATCATCTTTGGGCAACTCTTTAATCGTTCCGTATAAATCTGTGGCTCTTGTCTGGCATCTCCACTCACTCAGGGAAACTTGAGGGAGGTTTCTTTCGTCTCTCTGGAGTTCTTTGAGTGGCCCGGAGGCCTTCTGTATTGCATGCTTGTGGGGAGGGAAAGTTCTTTTACTGTCTTGTCCTAGTAGCTTGCTTGCTTGTTGAAAGAAACAGTGGGGAATTTCACATTACCCAGTTTCACGCGGTTTCAAGCCGGTAATTATCCGTTTTGAAGTGAACCGGTATAGGGCTGCCATTTCACACATGGCTTTCCCCTTCCGGTAAAGAGCTGGATCTGAAGCGGTTTGCCATTTCAGACTGCACCACTTTTTCCCGCTTTCCCCCCGCCATTTTTCACCCATGCGGGCCATCTCCGGCTTTTTCTTTAACGTTCGCTTTAGAGTGCTATAGCGCTATAGCATTATAACAAAACACTCCATGCATTCCAATGGGATTGATATAATGCTATTACGTTATAGCGCTATAAAGCAAATGTTAAAAAAAAAAAGCCGGAGATCGCCCACGCGGGCAAAAAACGGCGGGAAAAAGCGCATCAGAACTGGGAGAGGAAACTGAGGAGTACTTGGAAGCGGTTGACAGGTAAAACGCTTCAGCCCCGTTTCCTAAACGGGACAGAAGCGATTGTGTATGAAATGACAAATATATTCCGGAAGGGAACCGGTTCTCAAACGGTTCTGTCTGAAATGACAGACCAGAAACCATTTGGGAACCGTTCCTCTTCCAGAATATATCGCCTGTCTGAAATTCCTCAGTTTTTATGTTGCTTTGCGCACCCAGCTACAGCGCCTGGCTGGCAGAAGTTTTCCGCTCCCTAACTTTGATGAACCTAAATAAAGAAGTGTTTCCTCTGTTTAGAAAGAGATCTCGTCTCTGAGTCTCGGTCAGCTTTTGTCGGCGGGGCCTGCTCGCATATCGCAACGTCTTTAGGTAAGGGGCCAACACCCTGGGACATAGAAGCAAGGCAGGGTGGGTTGACACGTACACACTTATTAGACACGTGTCGTGCTCGCTTCGGCAGCACATATACTAAAAAATTGGACACGTGTCAGAAAAATCCCACATCGCTAAGCAGGGTTGGGACTTGGATGGGAGTCGGCCGAGATCACCCTGGCCCCAAAACTGCATAACCAATCCCAATAACCTTTATTGGCATAGCAATAACTCTATAAAAAGAACAGCAGTACAAATCAACCTGCATGTCAACAAAGGGAAGCAATTGGAGTGCAGCAATTTGTAACATTGTATATAGTGAGGATAAAAATTTGGAACAGTACTCTCGAATAATGCAGTAATTAAAACAGTTGCACCTTTCTTTCCTCTTCTGCTTGGCCCCTGAGTACATTTGCCACGAACTCTGCCACCTGCTCAGTAACTTCTGGTTTTTGTCCGCTAGCAAGAATTCAGTACTTCTATTGGTCGTAGCCTTAGAGCGTTGGAGGAGGGAACTAGTCAGGTGTGAACGTCGCTGGGTAAACAGCGGGCAGTTTAAAAGGATATGCTGAACAGAGGCAGGTTCTCTGCAGAATCTTGCCTCATAGGGGATACTCTTGTATCTCCCTGTGAACACAGCCGAGCCGAGGGAAACATATTGAATCCGGCCAGCATAAATGCTCTGCATTGAGAGGGGTTTGTTCAACTTGAAAAATACTGGGCCATAGAGTTTTGTGGCAAAGCAAGACGCAGGAAACAGGGGGAACAAAACGACATAACTCTCCCCTCAGGGATACTTCTCTGTCTGCTTCAGGTCCCTGTCTTTGCGCAGCAGCTGAAGGCTATTTTCCGCTTCGTCCGACGTTCCTTCCAAAGGGTCCCTCCTTCCTGCCCTGTGTTTTTAAACACAGGGCTTTTAAAGATGGCTTTTCGTTTAGCCGTAATTGTTTTATGGCGTGTTTTTATGACGCTTGCTTCAACTCTAAACTGCCTCGATGGCCCAGACCGGGCAGAAAGGCAAGGTGCAGATTTCGTAAACAAATATATTTATTGCAAAGCCCAGGTGGGGTCCCTGAAAAGGAGAGACGCAACTGTGCCTTCAGCGCAAGGAGGAGGGGAAGCGATGCGGGAGGGAGGTGTGTGTGCCAGAACTGCCGGAAAGCTGGTCAGGTGCAGGGAAGCTTGGATGGGTATATCCAGCAGGTTTCTGCAGTGGGCAGGGCAGCCATAAATGGTGTTCGGAAGAAGAGGCAATGTTTTACTAGGGTAAGTGTTGGAAATGTGAGAAGAAAACGGGGTCATTTTATCACATGTGGTGGTTATGTGATAGAGCAAAAAAATATTGGGCAGGGATACATGTACTAATCCAACAGATTTTGAAATGCAATGTACCTTTTCCTCCTGAAGTATATTTACTGAACATTTTTCCTGATAGTCTTAAAAGTGATGATTCTTACTTAAAAGTGATGATTCTTTTATACGCTAAATATTGGAGGTGCCAAGAGATGCTAAGTAAGGAAGAACTTATCAATAAAATTCTGGAAGCTGCAGAAATGGATAAACTTACATTAACCTTGAAAGGCCACTCAGATGAGTCATTTGAAAATACTTGGCAGAGATTTCATGAATGGTATAAGCATTATATTCTTACTTAAACAGGACAAGACGCATAACCAAAAAGAAGAGAAGAAGAAGACACGAAGAGACTAAAGCTCATTATTGTTGTTGCAAAACAATATTTGCTTAGTATGAGGTAGAATCTATATGTAACAGAAAAGAGGCAATCAGCGATATGTAAGCACAATGTACCCCCATTTTTATGTTTTTTTATGTTTAGAAGGTGATATATGTGTGTATGTATGTATGTTTTTGTTAGTGTTGCTATAAAAAATTTTAAAAACTTTTTTAGAAAAAGGAAGAAGAGGCATTGTGTCATAAATCTGCATGTTCGGGCAGAGCGGTCGAACCAGTTGCCAGCGCAAACAGAAGGCTCGGTGACAAAACATCTCTCACTCTCCCATCTTTTGCATCTGTGCCAACCACACTGATGAATCAGATCGTGCAAACAGTTTAAACCAGCCTTTTAAAATGTCACAATTCATCGAATCAGAGAATCCCAGAGTTGGAAGGGGGCCCTACAGGCCATCCAGTCCCACCCCCTGCTCAATGCAGGATCAGCCGAGAGCATCCCTGACCAGTGTTTGTCCAGCTGCTGCTTGAAGACTGCCAGGGAGGGGGAGCTCACCACCTCCCGAGGCAGCTGATTCCACTGTTGAACTCTGACTGTCAAAAAGTTCTTCCTAATAACCAGTCGGTACCTTCCCGCCTATAATTTAAACCCATTATTAAGAACATAAAAGAAGCCAATGCTGGATCAGGCCAATGGCCCATCTAGTCCAACACTCTGTCACACAGTGGCCGAAAATACCAGGTGCCATCAGGAGGTCCAGCAGTGGGGCCAGGACACTAGAAGCCCTCCCACTGTTGTCCTCCCCAAGCACCATGAATACAGAGCATCACCTGCCCCAGCCTGTGAGTTCCTATCTATACCTTGTGGCTAATAGCCACCAATGGACTTCTGCTCCATATGCTTATCTAATTCCCTCTTGAAGCCGTCCATGCTTGTAGCCGCTGCCACCTTCTGTGGCAGTGAATTCCATGTGTTAATCACTCTTTGGGTGAAGACGGACTTCCTTTTATCTGTTCTAACCCGACTGCTCAGCAATTTCATGGCGTGCCTAGGAGTTCTTGTAATGTGAGAAAGGGAGAAAAGTACTTCTTTCTCTACCTGCTCTGTCCCATGCATAATCTTATAAACCTCGATCATGTCACCCCTCAGCCATCATTTTTCCAAGCTAAGGAGCCCCAAGCATTTTATTGTGAGTCCTCTCCTCTGCCGCCAACAGGAACAGCTCCCTGCCCTCCTCTGAGTGACAGCCCTTCAGCTACTTGAAGAGCGCAATCACGTATTCTTGGTGCTTGGGAGGGGGGCAACAGTGGGAGGGCTCCTAGTGTCCTGGCCCCACTGCTGGACCTCCTGATGGCACCTGGTATTTCTGGCCACTGTGTGACCCAGAGTGTTGGACTAGAAGGGCCATTGGCCTGATCCATCATTGGCTTCTCTTATGTTCTTATATTTATATTAACCCCTAATGAACTGGAGGGCAGCTTCTCCATGCAAAATCTTGCAGTCCCCTGACAATCCCAACAAGAAAGATTAAAGGCAGATAGGAGGGTTTTACCTGCACACTTTGTGTGTAGCCTAGAGAGGGGGGTCCGTAGTCATTGATAAGCTGCCGATATTGCCCGGAACCTGCCATGCTAGTGGACGGCGAGTGGATGTTCCCACCTTTGCAGAATGAAAGTTGGGGAGGAGATAAAAACGGGATTGTTACGGAACAATGTATTCAACTGTTGTTTAGTTACTTAAAACATGTTAAAACGCTTCCACAACATCACAACATCCATGAGAGAAAAACAATGAGGCTAAAGCTGGCAGCACTCAAATCAATAAAAACAGCAAAAGATCATTAATATTGTGGCACAAACAAAGGGGGGGAAAGCAGTAGACCAAAGTGGCAGTGCTTTCATTAAAAAAAAAAAAGAAGCAATAAAGGTAGTAAAACTGGCAGAGATCAAACAGAGAGCGGTAAAAGTGGTAAAGGAAACTGGCAAAAGGAGGGAGGGGTATAACCAAGCAAATAGGCTCCAAGAAACATATTTTTTAAGTCTTTCCTTAACACCTAAAGACAGCAGATTTGGGGCCAGGTGAATTTCTGTGGAGGGGAATTCCAAAGGCTTAGCACAGCAACAGGGGGGAAATGCCTTTCCGGGAGGAAATAAACAAGCTCACACTAACTCAGCTTAGAGGGAACACTGCTACTAGTCCCGCTGCATTTGGGGTTTGCCATGTGACATGTCGCCCTGCGCCTCCTGCGTTTCATTACCCCTGTCTTGTTCTTTTGGATCCCTGACAGCATAGTGAGGTTCCATCCATCGCACCTGAGGGACTGGGCTTCAGTTCTGCAGACACTTTCGCGGGGAGTTTTTTAAAAAGCGGTAGCCGGTGAGGTCTGCAAGAGTCCTGTTTACTTTCCTGATGTGCCTTCAATAGGTGAACTTGAAACCTTGTACAGGAAATCAGTCCCCTGACTTGGGAGGCCCAGGCTAGCCCGTCTGGTGTGGTGGTTAAGTGCGCGGACTCTAATCTGGGAGAACCGGGTTTGATTCCCCACTCCTCCACATGCAGCTGCTGGATGACCTTGGGCAAGCCGTGTTTCTGTCAGAGGTGTTCTCTCAAGAGCAGTTCTCAGTCAGAGCTCTCTCAGCCTCGCCTACCTCACAGGGGTGTCTGTTGTGGGGAGGGGAAGGGAAAGGAGTTTGTAAGCCGCTCCGAGACGCCGGGTGAAGGGCCTGGGTATAAATCCAATCTTCTCCTCCTCCTCCTCCTCCTCCTCTTCTTCTTCTATTAAGTTCTTATCCGATATTCAGTTTACTTGGAGTAAACTTGGGAGTCATTCTAAGCGGATTTGAGGAAAGTCACTGGGAAAAATGGCCGTGCTGCTTGTTAAATGAATGAATTATATAGAAATTTCAAGGCTATGCACTCTGACAGAGTTGTAAAGGAAATGAAGTGTTGATGGCATTAATATGAATGAATTTTGAGAGACTGAATTACTCCAAGTAAACCGAATACTGGATAAGAACTTAATCGTCTGTGGATATTTTCCTTGGCACAATATATCATGGCTGTTCAGCTCATTCCCACCACCCATCCCGTGATCTTTCCTCTTGGTTTGCACCACCTGGAAGTTGGCAACCCCAATTATACCAGAAGCGCTTGTCACTGTCCAGATATCAAAAAAAGTGGTGCTCAAATAATCCGGGTGACAATCAAAGTTAGCAGAGATGCCCAAGGCCACAGGAGAAGACAGTGTCGGAAATACTGAAAGCAAGGGGGAGAGGCGCAGAGTGGGGAGAAAAACATTATCCTTGTTCCCATAGCAACATGAGACTTTCCGCGGAGGCTGACATCCCATCCCCTGAGTTGGTGGTACGGAGTCATCGTCTGAGCAAGCCGGCTCTTCCCTCTGAATAAGCTGCTCATGGCTGTCATATGCCACCATACCGCCCATTCATTCAGCAGACACATGCGCATAAATCCTTGTGTGCAGCAAGGCATATGCGGCGCACTGCTTACCCCAGCCCCATGTGTTTTTTTGAAAATGGGTGCAACAAGCAATGCTTTTGGGGACAACATAAAAAAGACAAGGGTGGGGCAGGTTGAAGATTACAAGAGAGGTTGTGCCGGTAGGCACACTGCCAGAGGGAAAAAAGCGCATGACCGCCAACGGAACGCCATTCGGTCCCCGTGCACCATGCACCATCTCCGCGTTCGCCGTCCCCGCAGTGTGTCAAAGCTAGCACGAGGGGCCGCTACTGAGTACAGGCAAATCCCCCCCCACACACACACACGAGAAAGACAGGCCGGTGGGGGGCTGGGGTGCACTTTACCTGTTCCTTTGCCGTCGGCCTCAAAAATGTAATAAGACATTGCGGGAAGCTGCGCCGTGCGCCTTTATCAAACCGACAGCAGCCGGCGCGGAGAACAAAAGGAGGGCTTCTTCTGACTTGGCCACGGCGCCAGCCCCTCACGCAATGCAGATGGTCATGCCTGCAGCCGTGCCAGCTAAGCCCAGCTGGAGGGTGAGGGTGGGAGATGGGAAGTGGAAATACAGCAGATTTCCCTTTCCCTGTCAAAAAAAAACACACAAAAACCCTACAGCATGGCAGGGACTCCAAAGGCCATCTAGTCCAGCCCTTTCAGGGGAGGAAAGCGAAGCCCTCTGGTGGGCGTTAGGGTGGGGAAAGAGCCAGGGTCATTACCCTGATTTGGGGGGGAGGGGGAGGAGGAGGAGGAGGAGGAGGAGGAAGAGGAAGAGGAAGAAGAAATTGGATTTATACCCTGCCCTTCACTCGGAGTCTCAGAACAACTCACAATCTCCTTTCCCCTCCCCTCCCCACAACAGACACCCTGTGAGGGAGGTGGGGCTGAGAGGGCTCTGACAGAAACGGCTCTTTTCAAGAACAGCTCTTATCAGAACTACGGCTTGCCCAAGGTCATCCAGCAGCTGCAAGTGGAGGAGTGGGGAATCAAACCTGATTCTCCCAGATTAGAGTCCGCGCACTTAACCACTGCACCAAACTGGCTCTCTGGGGCCCTTCCATCAATCAAAGGCATCGCGTGGCCTTTACTTGCCCTTTCGTTTTCATTAGCCAAGGGCCACTGAAGTCCACAGTGGTAGAGAAAAGGGAAAAGCTGCCCACTTTTCCACGGGCCATCTCGGAGTTGCCAACCTCCAGGTTGGGCCTGGATATCTCCCAGAAAGACAACCAATCTCCAGATGACAAAGATCAGTTCCCCTGGATAAAATGGTTCCCTTGGTGGGTGGACTGTGGCACTGTGCCCCACTGGGGTCTCTCCCCAAACCATACCCTTCTCTGGCACCACACTCAAGATTTCCAGGAGTTGTCAACCTAGTCCTCTAGCAGGGGACCCTCTTCACTGGTCCTTCTCAGGTCCCCTAAAAAATTCTGATGCTGGCAACAGGGCCTCCCAAGGAGAGACCAGACTCACCACGCGGAGATACCTGCAAGAGCAAATATTATTATTAAAACAGGTCTAGCGTGCCTTTTCAGCGATGCTCTTGAGGTGGCTAGATAATACCTCTCGAGCAAGAAAGCCAAAGTGCAAATCAAATATGGTGGGATCAGAATTGTGGAACAGATACTTTGGGGGATGCCGCCCCGATCAATGATATAATCTAGTGAGGAGCACTCCCTGGAGAAGACCTTGATGCTGGGAAAGATTGAAAGTCAAAGAAGACGGGGACGGCAAAGGATGAGGTGGTTAGACAGTGTCATTGATGCAACAAACATGAAATTGAGCCAACTTCAGAGGATGGCGGAAGACCGGAAGGCCTGGCGTGACCTGGTCCATGGGGTCGCGAAGAGTCGGACTCGACTGTGTGACTGAACAACAAAAGTGAGGCCTTGCACCACATGTCACCTCTGCGCAAGGGCAGATTAACAGGCATGATGGGCAGCAGTGCCTTTTCCAGTGGTGGCTCCCTCATTGTGGCACTCCTTTCCTCAGAGAAGCTCCTCTGGTCCATTCTGTTCAAAGTGTGAGGAAGTCTGAGGGGCAAAAGCTGGAATTTTCTTGAAGGACCAAGTTTTACCTCAGAGGCATTTCCTCAATTACCATTTTGTGACAATGTTTTACTTTGGCTGCTCTCCCTATTCCTGTTTTCTTATAATATGTTCATTTTTTGCACTCTTAATGTCAAAAACCACTCAGAGAGCTCTCCTCAGCAAACGGCCAATATTATAATGCCCCCGTATAGATCTGTATAGATCTTTTGAACGTAGCAGTTCGAAAGCAAGGAATTGCAAGTAGATAAATAGGTACCACTTCAGTGGGAAGGTAACAGCATTCCGTGCGCCTTGGTTTTTAGTCATGCCGGCCACAGGACCACGGAAACGTCTTCGGACAGCGCTGGCTCTTCGGCTTTGAAAGGGAGATGAGCACCGCAACCCTAGAGTCGGATTCGACTGGCTTTCGAGCAAGGGAACCTTTACCTTTACTTTTATAGACCTATGGTACGTCTCATTTGGAACACTGTGCAGTTCTGGTCTCTGTTTCTTTCAAAAAGGACATTGCGGAGCTGAAAAAAGTACAGAGGAGGGCGACCGAGATAATGAGGGGGTTGGAGCACCTTCCCTAGGAGGGGAGGGCGCGGGGCAAAAATGTCAAAAAGAAACAAATAAAATAAATAAGACTTTTCAGTTTGGAAAAGAGACAACTAAGGGGGAACACAATCGAAGAGATTTATAAAATTATGCACAGCGTGGAGAGAGATGAAAAAGAGAACTTCTTCTCCCTCTCCCAGAATACCAGACCTCGAGGGCATCCAATGAAGCTGATGGGCAGTAGGTTCAGGACAGACAAAAGGAAATACTACTTCGCACAGAGAGGGATTAAAATGTGGGTTTTGCTGCCAGAGAATGGAGTGATGGCCAAAGGAATAGCCAGTTTTGAAAGGGGATTAGAGGAAGAGAAGTCTATCAGCGGCTAGTAGCCACAGTGGCTGTGTCCACAGTGACACAGTCCACATTCAGAGGCACTAAACCTCTGAATCCCAGAGCCAGGAGGCAACATCAGGGGAAGGCCTCAGCCTCAATGATCTTCTGTTGGCCATCCAGAGGAACCGGTTGGCCACTGTGTGAGACAGGATGCTGGACTAAAGGGACCCTCACTGGTGTGATCCAGCAGGGCTCTTCTGATGCTCTTCTGAAGGCCTCAGCCTCGGCCTCTTTGCCCTGCTGTTGGCCCTCCAGAGGAACTGGTTGGCCACTGTGTGAGACAGGATGCTGGACTAGATGGACCCCTGGTCTGATCCAGCAGGGCTCTTCTGATGTTCTTATGAAGGCCTCAGCCTCTTTGCCCTGCTGTTGGCCCTCCAGAGGAACTGGTTGGCCACTGTGTGAGACAGGATGCTGGACTAGATGGACCCCTGGTCTGATCCAGCAGGGCTCTTCTGATGTTCTTATGAAGGCCTCAGCCTCTCTGCCCTGCTGTTGGCCCTCCAGAGGAACTGGTGGGCCACTGTGTGAGACAGGATGCTGGACTAGATGGACCCCTGGTCTGATCCAGCAGGGCTCTTCTGATTTTCTTATGAAGGCCTCGGCCTCTCTGCCCTGTTGTTGGCCCTCCAGAGGAACCGATTGGCCACTGTGTGAGACAGGATGCTGGACTAGATGGACCCCTGGTCTGATCCAGCAGGGCTCTTCTGATGCTCTTAAACTGGAGAGGGGGAACATTTCTTATTTGGTAGAAGTTTCTGTCACAGATACAACACCCCCCCACACACAAAAAAAAATTACGCTCAGCTGAGCCCTGAGCATGAACAAGCAGCTAGTCAAGGCCCAGGAGCGGGATTGCAAGGAAAACCCGACAACCAATGCTCCCTCTAAGCTGTGGAGTCTTGTGAGCAAAAATTCTACTTCGTGAGCTGCTGGCATGAAAGTTGTGAGCGAGCGATTTGGCTGCTGCATAAATTCGTTTGGCTCTGGAGCCATCCTGCCTGAGCTAAGACAAGAATGTGTGAGCCGGAGGCTTAAAAACTGTGAGCTAGCTCACACTAACTCAGCTTAGAGGGAACACTGCCGACAACCCTATTTTGAGTCTTGTTTGTCCAGAATTCTTGGGCTGGGAATCCAAAAAGGGTTGTCACTGCCTCGGACAGAAACCAGCCAGACCTGCTCTGCCACTTCTGGCAGTAGCTTCAGCTAGGAAATCAGCAGGTTAAGTTTTCCACACATCCAAATGGCATCATCTGCCAGTGCCTGAGATCAGCTTGGAAACCACCCAGAAAGAAAGGAAACCGTCTCGCCAGAAATTTCAGAGGATTTGTTTTCCGGAGCACAGAGTGAACCTGAATTCTTTAAAAACTTTCTGTTCTGTGTTGCCAGACACCACCCTGGGCTCAGGCTAGGGTGGCCGACTTTCTTTCAGGTAGGGCTCCTGTGCCATCAATGGCAACTCTGGCAGGCGGAAATCCAACAGGCTTCTACTCAGCCTGGAGGTGCAGCAACTTCAGAAGAGAGAAGAGATTGGATTTACACCCTGCCCTTCTCTCGGAGTCTCAGAGCAGCTTATAAACTCCTTTCCCTCCCCCCCCCAACAGACACCCTGTGAGGTGCACAGGGGCTGAGAGAGCTCTGAGAGAAACAGCTCTTTTTCAAGGACAGCTGTGCCAGAACTATGGCTTGCCCAAGGTCATCCAGCAGCTGCGAGTGGAGGAGTGGGGAATCAAACCCAGTTCTCCCAGATTAGAGCCCACACACTTAACCACCACACCAAACCACTACACTTCAGCCCTTCACCCACCTTGGCAGCCATGCCAGAATAAAAGGCAGCCAATGTTGCAGTCAAACACAGAGAAACAGGAATACAGAGCCAAAAACGTTGCCAACTTTTTTTTTAAAGGCTCCTGCCTCCCTAATGGGGGTCTGATGCACAACAGTTCAGGAGGGGACGCTTTCTCGCCCCTGTTGTCTCTTTACCTGCTTATGTTCCATGCACTGGGCAAAAGGCACAGGAACAGAAGCAGGTGAAAGAGTTGGCAACCCAGACAGAGCTATGAGGAGAAATCTGGGAAGAATTAAAAAAGTTTCTTTTTTCTTTTTTTTAATTATCTGGGTCAGATTGGGGACATTCTTGTGAGAGGTTCTGTGCGTAAATATTGTAGCAATTCCCGGTGTTCTGGCATTCATTATGAGGAGAAGGAACCTTTCTCCCTCCCTGCTAATTGCTGGGGACAATCAAAGTTAAGTGGGTAATTAACGGCAGCAAGAAGGCCTTAAAACCCTTCCCCCCCCCCTCCCTGTCTCTCTAGCCACCTGGAATGCATAATGAAACAGGGTGCTAAGTGTAAGGAAGGGAAATATGTATTTCCGAGCCCACTGCGGCCTTTAAAACTTTCCAGAGCTCCTTGTGGATCACAAGCAGCCGTTTGGAGGTCCCTAGCCCCACACGCCTGGATTTTAAGAGCGGGACACGGTTGCCGCCTTCCACTTCCCAGCAAGGCTCCTGAGCCTTTAGTGGTACAGCAGGAAGAAATCCAACAGGGGAAGCACTCCCGCGATCTTTTCCGCGAAGACAGACAAGCAAAGGAACAGCTCAGTTGTCTGCCTTCTGCTGCGTAATTTTTTCCTTAAAGACTAAAGAAAAAGAAATAATTTTTCTCCCCGCCGTC